TCAAACAATATCAAACAACATACCTTCTTAAAGCCAATATCATCAGCATATTCTCTAAAGCATCGTCTGCACATGTTCAATCCATATTTTCTGATTAAACCATGAGTGTTTTTGCAGACACGGCTGAAAAAGAAAAGCAACAATAAATTACTCAAGCTATTGAAATCATCGTTTTTTCCAGCTGATTTACTTTTAACATACTATTAGCATCCTGTACTTGTACAAACACAGAAAAAAAAATATTGATTATGATGCAGTCTAATTCATTCAGTTGATGCAAGCATTAAAGGAGTCCCATGGAGGAGAAAAAGACATAAATGTATTGTTACAAAGTTCAACTAGATTTGCTATAGCCTTTATCCTTAATGAAGGCCTGTAAACATCTGAGGTAAGAAAAACACTGTGGAAAATCAACAGTTCTTTTCATCAATTTCTATTTTTAAATGTGGGCATCAAACTAGGAGTTGTAATTAAAAGTTCGCAGTCTTGTATTGCTAATTTTTACCCACATTTGCAATATTTTTTGGGGGGGACTGTAACTTTGAAAGCAGAGCCCACAGGGCTAGTGGCTTTGAATTCTAGCTAGCCCTGTTAATGAAATAGTTGTCCAGCAGCCAAACATCAAGTAGTGAAGGGACAAGGATGGTTGGTGCGGGAGGGGGTTTCTCTCTCTGCTGGGGGGGGGGGAGGGTTACAAGGAATCTCCCCTGAACATTTTAGAAAATGTCATCCTGGCAATTCTAAATTCTAGATGCCTCCCAAGAAATTAGCTGATAGTTATTTATAAATTTCTCATAATACATCTAGAGTTTAGGATTGCCTGAATGGGTTCACAGTCTACGCGAAAGTCTAAAATTTTTACAGGACATACGGTCTGGTAAAAATATATATTTTACCAGACCAAGCATTTACTTACCAGACCGACCTTTTTCTTTAAATTCATACATCATGATAGAGATTGAAAAGAGGGGGGGGGGGGGGTTCTTACTGTTAAATTGAACCTTAAATAGATCCAGAGTTGAGATTATTAAAAAAAATGATTTTATTGAAAGGAAAAACTTATTATTGTTTCCTTTTCAAAAGATAGTACATATGACAAATGCATACAATTTTCTCTTTTTCTGGTTATTTGACACATACAAAGGAAATATACAGTGTCAAAGATTTTTTTCTAAAACTTAAAATGCACTTTAAAATTTATTTATTTCCTGAAGTAACTCATAATAGTTACCCTTGTTTAATAATGAAAATAATTTCTCCCAACAGAGATATGACCTATCTATAGATCTATATTCCATGACAGAGGAAATTCGAATTAGAAATAACCGATCATGACAGGGTTGATATAGATTAAAATTAATCATGCATTACTGCTAAATGGATCGAATAAAGGATATGTGTGGAAAATAAGACCATATGAACATGTAAATTCAGATTTTTAGGCCTTATTTTTTCATCGGACATTTGGTCCTGTATCCTGAATTTTTTTACCAACCCGAACCAAATTTTACCGGTAAAAACCGATGGTCCGGTGACTTTTGCATAGACTGGGTTCATTATTTTTGGTTTGAATTTTACTATTTATACTTTCTTCCAGGCACATTGAAGCAAAATTTGAGAGAGTGTTTTAAAATCGTACATAAGGAATTATTTGCAAGGTGTGAGGATTTTTATAATAAGGAATGAATGTTTTGAGACATCTCCTTTGCAGAATGTGGAACACAGCTTTATTTTCATAGAACACAAGTGAGTGGAGCTGACGCCATTACAGAGCCGTCCAACCTTGTGTACTTGTATGTGCATAAGTTATCATACATATTTATATTTTCAGGCCTTTCAAAATTTGCTGGAACCTGGCTACCCAGTACGTCTACCTGGCTGAAATCATGACTGTACTGGCCAAAAAAATTCCATAAATTATTATATTAAAATTGCTTCCACAAGGTACCTCCTACTTTCTCAACTCTTTGGAAGAGCAGTACCACCGTTATGTAAAAACTGGTTATTTGTGGTGCATTGTGTGTACCAGGGTTTACTGCAGAAAAAATTGTATTAATGTGCAGTAGTCCAATTTTCTTTTCACCCAGGTGTTGTCGTAAGAGCAACACCTGAGTGAATGCTCATTATTAAGACCAAGGCATCTGTGCCCTAGATAGAATGTTCTATTGTAAAATAAGAGACATATAAAACTATGGTTTAAATGATAGTCCTACTGACCAGGTTTAATGATAGAATTTGTTCAGCGTTGGCAATGTAGCAAAATAAACAAGGGTGACAAGTCCAACTCAGTGCATTTACTATGATTAATCCAGAGAGTTCTGAATTTCAACCTGGCATGTAAATTCGAGGTGAGAAAACCATTGAGAAAACGAGTTGAATTTTCGTCTTTAAATGGATTTTTTAAGGTTAAAAGGCATATACAAACTCAAAGAGGTTGTTATGATTAATTCAGTAGTTATTTTCAGTGCAACTTCTTTTGTATTCTCAAATCTTTTGTCGAAGTTCCACTCCAATTTGCTACACTGCAACTATAGGAGATTGGGAATATTCTAACTGTGGCGAGGACTTGTCTCAAGACACAGTTATTCTAACTACCTTGTGCCCCCGAGGTCCTAATTTTACACTCTCCCATTCTAAATTCATAGAATTTTCGACATAATTTCAAAGTAATCAATTTTGTAATTTAAAAGACAATACAAATTAGTTAGAATAATCTAATTGTGTCTCGGGACAAGCCCTCACCACAGTTAGAATGCCTCCCACATACTCACAATGTAGCAAAAAATTGCAGATTCGCTCCAAAACGATTTTTAATGATACAAAAGGATTTGCACTGAAAATAACTACCAAATTAATTATAACAAACCTTTTTAACCTAAAAAATAATCCATGTAAAGACGAAAAATCAACTCATTTTCTCAACGTTTTTTTTCTCTCTCTCTTCGAATTTACATGCCATGTTGACATTCTGAACTCTCAGGACATGGATTGTTCATAGAGTATGCACTGAGTTAGAGTTATCTCCCGTATTTTCTTTGCTACATTGCCAATACACAGATCGCATTCTATCGTTAAACCGGGTCCGTAGGACATTTATCATTTTAACGATGAAACATTCTATCTAAATACAAATGCGCCGAAAAAAATTGAATTAAAATCACTAGGAAATGTATTTCGAGATCTATCGAAATTCATGCATTGCTATTGAACACGTGCGTTACTGAACACGTCGTTTCACAAAATTGTTCTCTGCTTCTGCGTATTATAACGTCTGAATCGTGAATTCATTACATAACTGATTAATGAACACATATTTTAAATGCGACAAAAACTAAATTTTACCAATATCTTGACCCTGCGCCGTATTTCTTTGGATGAGAATTCCAAATGTTTGTGAACCCCATGATGGCTGCTGAGAAAGAGAACGCATGTGCGTAGTTTCGTATTTTACTAAACAAGGATAGTCTAATTACCCCAAAACTTCCAATACAGTGATGAATATAAATTGTAAATGAATTTCATATTAATGCTTTTAAATGAGAGAAAATTATTTAATCATTAATAATCCTTCCATTTAGAAAAAGTTCTAGTAAATAATAGTAGAACTATGTATTTGATATATCTACAAATAGAATTTTAGAACTTCAACATTTGGCATTTGAAAATCAAAACTGTTATTTTTGTTAAATTTTACTTGTCTTTCAAAAGAGTTTATCTATAGACATATCATAAGACATACAAAATAATGCTTAACTCAAACAAATGGTATATTTATTTTACATTTATTGACTGCATAAGTTTGAGGGCTAATTAACATGCGTCTTGTCAGACCCAAGAACCAAACCGTTTGCCTGAGGCTGTTAGGCTGAAGGCAAATAGCTGGTTTGAGGGGTCAACAAAACACATTTTGCCTGAAAACACAGTCAATAAATGTTTTGTTATGCTTTTTACTTTTTTTGATATAGCTTGTGGTTTTCATGATCTATGTAAAATTCATTTGACCGCACTGCGCACGGTTTGCAATTGAACTCAGTTAATTCCATGAATATCAAACACCAACACAAACAATAAGATAAAGATGATCCCTCCCACAGTGTGATGTACGTAATCCGTCAAATATCTCATTGATAAGTCCAATATCTCGATCACTATGCAGTCTGACATTGACATTTTTAAACCACACGTACATAAAACAGCTAGGGTTGGAAATATTAGACTTTTTTTTTTTAGCTTGGATTAATATAGGAAACAATTTTCAAATTAAAATAGTGATTTTCATAATCTGCATCAACACACGTGATCCCACAAGTATCAATTAAATTATGTAAAACTCAAATTTCCAAAGAAATAAATTTATTACAACAGCTATAGCCTTTCATATATATTTTATTTAAAGATATATCATATGCAACAAAATGAAAGAAAAAAAAGATGAATATGGACTCACTGGACTGTCATATATGTGTCAAGCCTGACAAAAACAAGAAAAATTCCAAAATTTATAATGATGTTAAACAATCAGAAATATATTCACTGATGCATCATTCAAGGATTTGATGTTGATGCATGCATTGTACTTTCAAATTGTGTCAACACCAGATGCATTTTTTGAGTATCAATACATTTCTCATTGTTTTAATGTCTTTTAATATATTTATAAGATTGTTTTAAAAATAAATACATTTTGTTTTACAAATAAATACATTTTCTTTTGGATTTTTTGCTTTCCTCATTTTCACAAGATTAAAAAAAAAAACAAGTACAAAATACTCTAATAACAACAGGCCTCTCTTCATTTTGAAAGAATTTGTATTTAAAAAAAAATACTACTTATGACTCAATATATTGATACAAAATATTTCATCAATGACAACCCTAGGGCTCTTTCAATGATTCCGTGAAAAAGCTTCAAAGTACCTCACCAAAAGGTGTTTGGGGAATAGGTATATGCCATTTCCAAGCCTGAAGTTTTAACAGTTTTATGAAAGAAACACAAACAATAAATCAAAATTCAATTTAATGCAAAAAAACAGACATCATTTAATATGGAATATCTTTAACATTTCTCACTGCACACAAATGCTACCAGTTTTCTGCTAATAAAATATAATGCATGACTCTAACAATTACTGAGTAATATCTGTCTGGATTTTGATTTGAATCATGCTAAATTCTGTACAGAAGTGGCATCGTGTGGGCATTCATTAATTAGACAAATAAAACAATCAATAAAATCATTGGTACTGAAGCTCTAACAATTTATTTTTTTTCCTTAATTAAATGGGTTTACATGCATTTCTGGTTTCTAATAAGGATCAGATGCTTAATCATGGTTTGAGCATTTTCATGAAGCATTCACTGTTTGATTTATTAATTGTTAAGTTTTGAACTGGTCTGAATATTTTGAACTGGTCTAAATAAGACCTTCAAAATTATTATTATCTTATTTTTTTTTTAATTGCAGGAGTACGAGTATAAAATAAAAATGTAGTAGTATTTCTAAACAATTCTAGATCCTAAAAATACCTAATAAATGCACCAAATCGAAAATATTTTTTACATATTTTTTACACACATTTAATTAGTAAAAAAAAGTGTAGTTCAACATCTAATATCAACTAAGCTTTTCATGTAACAGAGTGAATGCTTGTCATATTGAAAATGTGAATTTCCTCCAAAGATAATTACTTCCTGTTTCCTTGAATAAATAATGATACAATCAGCTTATGAACATACATGTAACAGAAATTAAAATGCTCTGTCTAAAGTGTTTTTTATGTATCAAGTGAATGTCATATTGTTAAACTGTAATATACTCTTTCTAAAGAGTCATCAATATCAAAATAAATAACATACACTGAACATATACATCTGAATGCTTAAATTTGCTCTAACTTAAAAAAAAATGTAAAGCTGTCTATGTCATAAAGTCACAACTGTGTTAAATCAGAGAAGCTTTATTCTCCTGACTGTAACACAAAATCACAGAAAAATTGCACTCTCCATTAGAAATTCTGTCCAATCAGAAGCTAGTTTTCTGACTCATGAGAGCTGTTGCTGTCCAATCGATCAGCTTCTGGGGCATCATGGGGGGAGTACTCTGCACTTGCATAAGTCTCTGAACTTTGGGACTGGTGCATATTAGGTCTGGGAGAGGGGCTAGCAGATCTGGGCCCTGGGGGTTGGGGACTTGCAGGAGATGGGACATTGTTGTTGTTCGCAGTGTTGGTCATCTCTGCAGGGCATTCAAAATGAACACAATGGAAAACCTAGGTGAAAATAGAGTAAAACGTTTATTGTTCAAAATATACATGTATTTAAATACATGCTGATAACAGAAGCATATGCAGATTCAGTTTAAGAAAGAGCCCATTCATTACCTCATTTGCTGTATTATGGGTTCCAACAATTTTAACAAATGTTACAGGCCTCTTCTCAAATTTAATAACTTGCCATGATCTATGAATAAATCAATTAAAATGGTATAACAACATTCAACAAATTGCATTTAATGGGAATTGTCTAATTCATACTACATGTAATTATTTTTCATTTGGCACCTCATGGGTGATAATTCATTCACTATTTCTTGATTGCACAGGTTTAATAAGGCATCTCCAACCTCACACATTGAATGGTATATGGGAGAAAAACTGCATTAATTTCTACTTGATAGAGTTTCATATAATTAATAATCTCAGAAAATTTATAGGTTGTCATCTTGTATCTGACATATCGACTCTTTGAAGTGGACACTTACTTGCACTGCTCTTTACGTTTGTCAGCCAGGGAATACCAAGATTTTTGATCTGTGGAGACTTCTACATAATAACTGTAACTCCTATCATCACAATCCCACAACAGCAACCTGAATGAAACATGGAAGGAAGAGACTTGATATAAAATTCTCAAGAAGAAAATATGAAAGATTTCATATGTAATTTTTCCTCTTAAGTTCTTTGAATTTTTATCTACTACTATAAACAATTATGGTAAGCAAAGTTTGGTGAAAAAGAGGTATCCCATACACATAATAGTAATAGCCAATTCCAAGATTTACACTTTGCTTAAAAGTTACACACAGGTGAAACCAATAACAAAAGTGACCTGAGGTACAGATAAAACATTTAGCTGGTGTGAGTCCTTACCTCATGGTGTCTATTATGTAGGGCTGAGCTAGCTGGACAATAATGGCCCCACTCCCTAGCTGGTGGCAGGTGTAGCCAGAGTCCCAATCATAGTGCCTGGTGTCCCCATTAATGAGGGCATTCCTGCTGCGACTTACTCCCTCAATCACACACGCACCTGCTGCTATAGTGGCAACATTTTCAGATGGAACTAAAAAATTACCAAATATGTTTACTCATCAAATGTAGGTTGTATTCATAGCTTTACTGATATTATTATTCTTTTAAATCTTACTCCTCCAAGATCAACAAAATGCTGAATAACACTGAATAAAGTTCAATAAACCATTCTAAATTACATATTTCACCATACAATTAATACAGATGAAATGTCCAGTGTGTCTTTATATTCAAACTGAGAAAGTTTTCCATTATTATACAAACAACTCTTTATATGTTCTTTTTGAAGTTTTCACGTTACTGAAGTCTTCCTTTCATGGATCTGTTTTTTTTTTTTAAACACAGCAACCGGTCACTTACCCACTAAACCCTGCTCCAACACAAAAGGTTTGTTAGTGAAGAGGCATTCAAAAGAAACAAGATGGAACACTCTGTTGACAGTGTTATGAGTTCCAACAACCTTTATGTATCTGAAAGATATACATAAAAAATTACTGGTAAATATACTTTTAACAATTATACTAGATTATACTAGAAAACTAACCAGGGCTCTGTGAAGGCTTAAACGCAGAGATTTTAAGCACTGCCTTCAAAAATACCTGGTCTGTGTACCCCTGTCAATCAAGTACGTTAAGGTACATCATTGGGTGCTAGAACTTGATTGACATTTACTTACTAGTCCCTGTGTATACTCTGTACACCTTGTTTGACACTCGTGGTGTCCATCAAATTAACTTTTGATTCTTTGATATTTACCACACATGGTATAAACAATAGAGAAGCTGTGTTACTATGGAATTTTTAGCTTGACAATATATATACATACACACCTTTAATATTTGAAATAATTATGATTTTCTTTACGATAATATATATCAAAATTTGGTATAACTTTTTTTTTCATAGCTCAAAAAATACTTTGAATAATACTAATTTTTAATGGGCGGGGATACTTTGACACATATTCAATTACAAATTAACAAAAATTACTGAGATTAAACTTTATTTACAACTTTTTATTTCTTTTTTAAAATCATCTCAAAATCCCAACACAGGTAAAGTTTGACTTCTTGGGTACTCTGCTGTGTATTAAATCACTTCCTGTGTATAGGGACTAGGAGACAAACGACCACAGGTAGACAGCTAGCCCTCAAGGCATTCACACCTGTACAAAATAAGCCCCTCCCTCACCTGGAATTTACCACCCGGTAAAAAATCTCTGCCTTAAAATACATGAAGGTGGTGATGGAGGGATGTGATAACTAATAGAGGAAACTTTAAAGAAAAGACTATAATGTGAATCAACTATTGTAATTAATTATGCAATTTAAAATTATTCTAATTAACAATATATTTGATGTTATTTTTCAAGTAAAGAATGAACAGCATTCTTGTATTTACATAAGAAACTATATCTAATTATAAAAATCCTTTTTTAAAATTCATTTCAGTGTATTTCAACCAAAGTGAAGTATGCATTTTATAAAATGTCAGCCTTCAATGAATGCAAACATCACCCAAGTGTGACTTATGAACTTCAAAGCAGAAAACACTTGTAGATAAAGGTGAAATAGAAAATAGCAGATAGATGGATGGACAAACACACAACTAGAATTAATAAATAATAAAACATAACATTTTTTTAACAAGAGGCCCATGGACCACATTGCTCACCTGAGTCATTTTCCCCCATATAGTCCTACTTAAAACTTTGATCACATATCGTGGCCCCACCCTACCCCTGGGAGTAATTATTTGAACAAATTTGAATCTATACTACCTCAGGATGCTTCCATGCAAATATGAATAATTATGACTTTGCTTTTCTTGAGAAGATTTCTAACAATTTTTTTCTGTTTATTCCTAAGTAAAACTATGCCTAATGTGGCTCCATCCTAGCCTCAGGAGTCATGATATGAACAAACCTGAATCTACAATACATGAGGATGTTTCCATATAAATTTGACAAATCACAGCTTTGCTGTTCTTGAGAAGAAGATTATTAAAGATTTTTCCTAAATATTCAATGTTAAACTTAAATCGCCTATTGTGGCCCTGCCCAATCCCTGATGGTCATGTTCTAAACAAATCTGATTGATTGATTGTATGTTGTTTTACGTCCCATTCGAGAATTTTTCACTCATATAGAGACGTCACCATATACCGGTGAAGGGCTTCAAATTTTGACCTTTACTCGGCACTCAGGGCCATTGAGCAGTGAGGGATCTTTATCATGCCAACGCCTGCCGTGACACGGGGCCTCGGTTTTTAAGGTCTCATCCGAAGGACCCGCAACTTTCACTTCAAAGTGCCGAGCGCATGGCGAAGGAACAGTTGCTACCCATTTTTTATGGACTTGGGTCTGTCGCGGCCGAGATTCGAACTCATGACCTCCCGATCACGGAGCGAGCGCTCTACCGACTGAGCTACCGTGAACGGTAAACAAATCTGAATCTAGGCTATATCAGAAAGCTTTCACATAAGTTTCACTTTTTCTGGCCCAGTTGTTCTTGAGAAGATTTTTTTTAATGTTAGCTAATTCTTAATTATCTCCCCTTGAAAGAGGGTGTGGCCCTTCATTCAAAGGATCTTTATACCCTTCACCCAAAGATGATTTGTGGCAAGTTTGGTTGAAACTGGCCTAGTGGTTTTTAAGAAGAAGATAAAAATGTGAAAAGTTAATGATGTTGACAGCAACAATGTCGACAGACAACAGACAAATTTTAATCAGAAAAGCTCACTTGAGCGAAGACTAAAAATGTAAAGTTCAATTCTAACACTGATGGGTAAAGCCATTGTAATCATCTACAGTGTAAATCAAATTTAGGGAATAAATTTGTTAAAGGGCTGCACCCCTATTAATGCTGGAAACTGTATTAGCATTTCTAAATAAGTGTTGTTTTTACCTGACAACTCTCGGTTGGAAGAAAAGTGTTTGCCATGACCGACACAGATATTTACTGTGATCCACCACCTTTTCATAGTCCTTGTCATCCATAGAAACTTCCACGTAATACGAATATGACCTAATCATCAAACAAGTATGAATCAAGAAAAGTAAACAAATCTCTTGCTTTAACTGACTTTCCTTGTACTACTTTGAAAAAAAATTAGATACCCAAGTACTACATGTATTTTAAAGAAATTCTAATCTCTTACTACCAATCAAATGAAGTGAATAAATAACATGTATCTCAGCTTCTAACATGATTTTTGTGTTAATTCTATTCTCTGTTTTACCTCATATCCCTATCCCACAACAATAGTTTGATACAGTTGATGATGTAGGGACTGGCTAATTTAATCACCACACCCTGTCCATAGTTATCGTCTATAGGGTGACGTGTGAACCCTCTGTCGAGATCATAGTTCTGACAGTCCCCGTCCAGAAGTGAATTTTTCATCTCACCTCGAATTACCTGTGCTCCAAATCTCTGTGTAGCTATGTTTGTTTCTGGAACTAAATTCAGGGTATATGCATGTTAATAGAATATAGAATAAGATTTATCAATAAATTATAAATTTCTGCAAATGGTTTTAATTATCCTTTCAATAATAATAGTAAAATTAAATTTGTAAGAAAAATAATCTTATCGATTCTTCATTGTTAAATATAGATTGAATGTACACAGTAAGCAAGAAGTCATTTTGAGATTTTTATTATTCTCCATTAAATATTTATGAAAAACCACATCATATATACTGACTTAGGGAGCCTCTGTAGTTGAGTTCCATATCCCGACTTTCTGACTGCAGTTTGATTGCGTCTAAAATAGAATCAGCTGATACGAGTCCAGTAGGTCTGACAACATTCAGCAGGTCATTCATGGTCATTAGCGGTAGTCTTACACACTGTAGAATTGGGCTTGGGTCCTGTCCCTGGTTGTGTTCTGACCACTTGACCACAGCATTAAATATTGTACTCTCTGGAGCACAAAATGAGTCCCTTGATATCAAATCTTTGACTGAACTCTAAAATGAAAAAGTTCATAGCATTTCAAAGTAACCCTAATACAAAATTAAACTGTCAAGGCATCCACTTAATACAGCAGCTACTTCCCCTTCCTCTCCTACTAAATATCTGTATCTTCTTTTGAATACATAGAATGACAATCTGTCCTACAGAGCTGTAAACAAGTTAATATATCTTTCACTTTCAAAACCAAATATAATTCTGCACCATTTGTAACAATTAACATGAAGCAAGAACTTTTTCTTTCAATTCAATCATATTCCACAGTGAACAATATAATTCTGCACAGGGCTCAAAATTAACGTTTCTCCGATTGTCCCTGTCCAGTTCATTTTGTGGTCAGAAAAGTTGATATCCAGACACATTTCCTATTGGAAAAGTTCTTCTTTTACCATTACGGAATATTATAAATATGAAAACAAAATCTTAGATTAATTCATTCTTTAAAAAAAAATTGCAAACATTAAGTAGGGACTGTCACACCTCACTTGATGTTGTTAAAGACGATGTTATAGGCCGTGTTACTGTATTTTATATCATTTTATAATTAAACAAATCTTTACAAGTCAATATTCTTTATATTAAGTACTTCATTCTTGATCTCCCCACAAATTTCGTTGTATAAATTTGTTTTATAAATGTATAAATGAGTCAGACAAGAAAACTTTGACTTTAGACAAGTAAAATATGTTGGCAACTTATACAATGGACAAATGGATATTCAAGGTAATGTTGAGCCCTGCTGCACCATTATCATGGGGCACTGAGCGGTTCTTCTGTAATCAGAAATATGACTTTTATTGATTTGTAAACTCACCTGAGACAGGGTAAGGAAAGTCTCATTCACCAAAATATCTTGAGCATTTCTGTCAATGAAATCCTTGCAAACTTGACAGAGGGAAGTAAGATGATACATATTTGCAATGTCATAAATCAGACAGACATTTGAGATGTTCAAAATTGCCTTCAAATAGTCAGAAATAGCAGTTTCAAGATCCACAAAGCCATAACGATGAGACATCCCCAATATATCCAACAAATTTTCATCCTGTAAATAAAATTCACAACAAATGAATGTATTTCTAGAATGACTTATATATCTATCATACTTTGATTATTGGAAGAATATATTATTGAAACACAGTTCAGCACTCTAAAGACCAAAAGTATTCAATGGCATAAGGAGACAGTGTACACTGAGCTTCATTTTCAGTAAATGATATAGCAGAACAGAATATCTAAACATAAGAATGATTTTGCAAAAAAATGGAGTTTGACACACTGATAATTTACTGCACATATATGGACAGCCAAGTACACAAGAAGGCAATATTGTTAATCATTAATCTAAACTCAAAACATGCAAACCCTATCTGTTTCAGGACCTTAGACATTACCTTGATTTCCAGCAGGTTAAGACGTCCACTATACATGTACTTCAGCAGGATGCTAAAAGCTGAGGCAGATGTGTCCTTCAGTTCAACCTGTGTAGTTCCTGGCTGAGATTCTTTCATCCCACCATACAAAAGAGCTCTAAACAATAGATACATACATGTATTAATAGTTTTATAATTTGTACGAAGCTGAGAGATATGAACACATCTCATAGAGAAATACCTTTTTAGCTATTTATTCTGGTGATTTTGTAACAATTAATCACAATACACAAAAATACATCTTTTAAAATTTTATAAATCATTTAAAGATAGATTTTTTAAAAATTCTAATTATTATTAAATTCATAACAGAAGATTGGAATGCTGTATTTAATGTACCTGAAATACTCTGATCTTGTTGCCAAAATAACTTTGTGTGCAGGGAATGGTACATTTTCCACAATGAGAGTAATATCACTGTAATCTGAGTTTTCAACTAAATCACCAAGATTGTCAGAAAGAAAGGAGACATGATCAACTATGCCTGCTGGTGGAGGGGATCGTAAGTGGCGGTGGTCACACATTTTTCCTGTTTTAATTCATAGCAATCTGAAAGACAGAAATGATATTTTTAGTAATCAGCAAGAAGAGATACTTGCATAGCAAGCTCTCTAGATTACATGAAACAGCAGAGAAAATTCAAGTCCAAACCAGGGACCTCAGAAGAGTCACAGTTTATAAATAAAGTCAGTGTTTTCATTATTTTCAGTATATCAGTTTTCTTAATTCTGTCAAAAATGTCTGAAAAAATGTTATTGGTTTCTTCATAATCTTCAAAATTATGATGAATTGTCTGAATTTGAAAGTAAAATAAAATTATATATCGTACAGTGGCGGATCCAGGAATTTCATAACGCGGGGGGCAGTAGAATCATTTTATCAATTTTTGTACTAAACTGGACTAAACTGAAGGTAAATGCTTGATCATGTTGATATATGAACAAAACTTCAACAAAAAAAAAAATTCAAACGAGGGGGGGGGGGGCACGCCCAGCACGCTGGATACTCCTTTGCCATATGCATTTTATGTAGATATTTTCAAGCTGATAAAAAAAGGAAAAATCGTAATGATATTAAGACTCGGGAAGAAATCCAGTTATCAAACTTTATGGATGTTGTGATATCACTGTCCTGGTAAATGCAAAATTTAACTGGATTTATTTCCTTTTTAGCTGGAGATTGGGTAAAATCACAAAACTTGCTGCACTTGCTCAAACAGTTTCGCCATCTGAACAAGAGGCCCATAGGCCACAATGCTTACCTGAGTTAATATGGTGCTGGTGTTTTTCATAAGCATATTTTTTCTATGATAATTATATATTCATGTATATTCCTATGTAAAACCTTGATCCCAATTGTGACCTACCCCTCAGTGTCATGATTTGAACAAACTTGAATCTACAATACCTAAGGATGCATCCATATTAATACATGTATGACTATTCATCACTTTGCTTTTCTTGAGAAGATTTTTGAAGATTTTTTCCTATATATTCCTACATAAAACTTTGATCCCCTATTGTGGCCCCACCCTACCCCCTGAGGTCAAGATTTGGACAAATTTGAATCTACATTACCCAAGGATGCTTCAATATTAATATGAATGAACATGGCTTTACTGTTCTAGAGAAGAAGATTTTTGAAGGTTTTTTCCTATATATTCCCATGTAGAACTTGATCCCCCATTGTGGCCCCAACCTACCCCTGGGGGTCATGATTTGAGCAAACAAACTTGAATTTACACTATCTGAGGATGCTTCCACATTAATATGACTAATCATGGCTTTGTTGTTCTTGAGAAGATGTTTAAAGATTTTTTCCTATATATTCCTATGTAAACTTTGATCCCTCATTGTGGCCCCATCCTTCCTCTGGGGTCATGATTTGAACAAAAATGAATCTACACTACCTGAGGATGTTTCCATATCAATATGGCTAATCATGGCTTTGTTGTTCTTGAGCAACAGATTTTTAAAGATTTTTTCTTATATATTACTTATTATGTAAAACTATGATCCCCCATTGTGGCCGCACCCTACCCCCAGGGGTCATGATTTGAACAAACTTGAATATTTAAACAAACTTGAATCTACACTATGTAAAGAAGGTTTCAAATAAGTTTCAACTTTTTTGCCCCAGTGGTTCTTGAGAAAAAAGATTTTTAAAAGATACCACCAAATTTTTTAATTTTCTGAATTATCTCCCCTTGAAAGAGGGCGTGGCCCTTCATTTGAAAAAAAAACTTGAATCCCCTTCACCAGAGGATGCTTTGTGGCAAGTTTGGTTGAAATTGGTCCAGTGGTTCTGGAGAAGAAGTCGAAAATGTGAAAAGTTTACAGACGGACGGACAGACGGACTACATACAAAATGTGATCAGAAAGCTCTAGGTGACCTGAATTATCAGTCTTTCACTGTTGCAATTGAGAATAAACTGATGTTTTAAACTAGTGGAAATCGTGATTAAACCAGGACCCCCCTATTACAGAAAGGGAGGAAACCCCCCACTCGGACTCACCCCCTCTCGGTAGACTGGTATTGCCTGTCTCTATCGTTCGAAAGAGACAGGTGACTACCGCCATCTAAGCCAGGAATTTCTGGCTTGATTGATGCGCCATCTATCGCCGCTGCTCTACGCTCTGGCATGGGAAATAATCCCAATAAACTGATAAGCCACAGCTATCTGCTGAGTCAGTGAGTCATCCTAAACTGATGAATGTTTTAAAATGTGTCAGTTTCAATTAACAAATGTTGCAGTTTTCTTTTATCTAAGTAATGTATAGTATGTAATGTGTTAGGAGCTACGCAAGCTAATTAAAATATCTCCAGGCGAAGCCAAAGGTGTGTGTGAAATCAGGGACCTATAGGCCTAGGCCTATACTAACTATACAGTATATATGTTAAGACTTGTGTTAAACAAAATCTGAAAAAAGGAATATTTGTATTGTATGTGGATAGTATTGTGACCGTGTTAGATTGATTGCATCAAAAGCAAATGCAGAGAACTTTTAAAAAGTATGTCTTAAAAACGGAATATATGTAGAAATTTTCAAAAAATTTTATTATAACTGGTGTCAATACTTTTATGATTTGTTTCAAAACATCCCTCATTATTTATTTTTTTTCCCAATGCAGTTTTTGTACGCATGGAGAATTTAAGGTAACGATCTCTGCACTCTGTGATCTGTTTTGGTTTCCCCGACATTTAAATTTCTACGTATGCAAGAGTTTTTATCAGCCAATGAGTGCGGCCAGCAGAGGGCTCTTTACATTACTGGTCACCTGTCTGTATATCGCACATATCAGACAGGCAAGCCAGTCTACCCCTCTCGGGCCAGTGGCCCTCGGTTCAGGCCTTCGGCCCTCAAGTTAAAGTGCCCCCTACTTTTTCTTTTTCTCCACCTACTCTAAAAATTAATAAGAACCCATACTTCCAAGGGGAAAATTCACATTCATTGCAAGAATTCTCAATGTAACAATACTTCATTACCTGATTACTGTATTTCAGTGAAAAGCCACTGGCAGATTTAGAGGGGGGGGGGGGCAGCCCCCCCCCTTTTGTGTCCAAAATATACATAAGATTTAATAAATCAATTTTTTTTGTGTGGCCGTGGCCTCTACCCCGACCCAAACTGGTTGCCCTTAGTTAGAATATTCCAACTGTGTCTCGGGACAGGCCCTCACCACAGTTAGAATACGTCCCATATACTTGCAATGTAGCAAATCGGAGTGGATCCACTCTGAAATGATTCTGAAGAATACAAAATGAGTTGCACTGAAAATAACTACCAAATTAATCATAACAAACCTTTTTGAGATTGTATATGCCTTTTAACCTAAAAATTAATCCATATATATACGAAAATTCAACTCATTTTCTCAACGTTTTTTCCTCGCTTCAAATTTAACGCCTTGTTGACATTCGGAACTCTCTGGATTCTTCATAGAAAATGCACAGAGTTCGAGTTATCGCCCGTGTTTATTTTGCTACATTGTGAATACACGGAAAGAATTCTATCGTTAAACCGGGTCCGTAGGACAATATCATTTTAACGATAGAACATTCTATCTAGTTGCCCTCCCCTCTTTCAACATTCCTGGATCCGCCACTGAAAGCAGCTGTAAACGTCTACCTTTTATGTGTACATATACCAAGCCTAGTAGACTCTTAGATATTTAGAACATGTGAACATTGCATATTTTCGGCCGCATATCTTCTTCTCTTTAAAGAAAATATTATTGAATAATTGAAAGATCATGTACAAGCATACAAAACACTGACTAGGTGATTTGTCATTTCCCGTTGGTCTGTGCTTGGTACCAGTTGTCTAACATCTTGTTCATGAGTATGCTTTAACACTTATTTAAACAATTGTGCTAAATAAGTGCTAGTTTAATGTGACATTGATCGAAATGAAAGTGAACTTAAACCTAGCTAGAACAACTTTTCAAAATTTGTACTCTGAATACACCACAGATAAATTTTATGTGTTCTCTTTAAGAAATGCCCCGTCTTACCTCAAATGGTTGCTATATTACACGGCTACATCCTTTGAGTATGTATTAATTGGTCTTAAACTCAGACAAAACTCAACAAGAGTTATGCACTTTCCGACATGTTTATTTTCCGAATTTCCTGTAGCTTGTTAGCGGTGCAATAGATTTTGACCCTTGGGTATTTCGATCTCCATAATTAAATGGTACATTCAAAAGTATTAACGCAATTTTTTCATCAACTGTCGAAAATTATATTGAGTAATTTTTACTTTATTTTATGACAGAAGTGTTAATGTTAAATGTCAATGAAACTAAAATTAAACTAGTATTTTGTATGAAAATGCTATGCAGGAATTTTACATAAATATTTAACCATTTTCTCAAATTGATCACGAAAAAAAAACAGTGAAACTAATAAATTTATCATAAGCATAAATCAATAAAAAATAACGATAAAAATTGAATAATACACCCAAAGAATTTCAAGAGTTCTAAAAGTCCCAAGAAATAAGTACCTTTTTTCCAACACCACCTATGAGCTAACTCGTTATGCCAACTTCCGGTTTGAGAATTTTTTTTGCTGGTGGAAGAAAAATTAGTGGAAGGTTACCAATCCAGGAAGAAATGCCTAGCAAAAAGAAGAAATTCAGCGCCCGGTTTCCACCAGTATGTTCGATCAATATTCATTCAGTTTACTTCTTTATTAAAATGTTAATCATTAAGAGTGATGTTTTATAAATGTTTAATACATCCCCCCTTTCCAGCCGGTTCGCACATATGAACAGTTGTTATTTTGTAATTAATGTAATGTTAGAAGTGATTTGCATGTACAATTAGTACTTTTATAAAATTATATTGTAAGAAAAGACATTGCTATTATTTACTTTTAAAAATTGTTAGTGACAGAGAAATCAATGATCAGTGACATCAATGAATAAAGTTGTGTATTTGATTTCATTTATAACACCATTACAGCAGAATTATTTAATATCCACACAAGAAACTGCCAAAGGTTACACAAGTGTGGCAGTCCAAAGGGTTTGATCGATGGTGGCCAGATAGTTCAGTTGGTAGAGCATCTGACTGGAGATTCACGGGGCCTGGGTTCGAATCCCTGTCTTGTCCATCACATTTTTTCTCCTTTCCTGTTACACATTTTTTCCCTTTTTTTTTTTTTTTTTTTTTTTTTGTAGAAAAAAAATTGACACCTTTACTTTAATTCAGTATTGAGTACATCCAGACAATCAGTTTTGATAGACAGGTATAATTGATGATATGATGTATCCAATATAAATAACTGTTCCACCTGCCTGCTTATGCAGAAACAAAACTCCCCTTTGTAATGAAAGAGTGCACCAAGGGAGATAATCTTGAAACTTGCGTATTAATTTTGATATGTTGATGCATCGTGAAAATTCATAAAAAAGAATGCTTAGTGAATTTCTTGATGATTTCCAGGCTCGAATAAAGAAAATCATGCAAACTGATGAAGATGTGGGAAAGGTGGCAGCTGCGGTACCTGTACTTATATGTATCCTTTAAGTGTGTTACCATCAACAAAAATGAAATGAGAGCTTAAAATTACATTATCATTTTATTTAGGAACCCTTACCTTATATACACTTATATGTATACCTTATGAATGTGAAGGTCTTTCATTCCAGAGAGAGTTTGAAAGAAAAAGAGAGTGAGAGTTTAATAAAACTTCACCCAACTTAAACAATGTGATGGGTTGATTTTCCATTCAAGTATGTGTTATGCATTGCATCCCTGAAATTTTTATTTTTACTGTCTGATTATCAAAACAGGGCTACATTTCATTGATATTTAAAAGGTTCATACATGATACCAGTCCTCCTTATATACTGCTTATTTCATTAGAAGTATATTTCTTAATACTTCTAAAAGCTAGAGCTTTGGAGAAATTCATAGAGACTCTAATAATGAAAACCAGTGAAACCACAAAAACCAGGAATGCTAAAACCCTAACAACATCCCACATGTGAGTTAATACTGATAAATATATAACATGCACTGTTCATGAAAGTAGAAAACTCCATATCTCTGCAACATACTTATCATAATCTAAAATCATGTACAATTTTAATTCTTTTAAGACACCTGTATTGATTTGATTGAATTTGTTTTATAGCAAGCAGACCATTTATCAAGAGAAAAAGTTTGATTTTCTGAAAGACCTGGTGGCAAATGTGCCTGACCATCAAGCAGAGGAGGATACAGATTCAAATACAGGAGACTTAACAAAACGACAGAAAACACCCAGGTAATTTTAAAAATGTAGCTTTGATTGAGAGAAAGAGATTTATATGTACATTAATTTAATGAATATGGATTTGGTTTTTTAGCTCACCTGAGCCAAAGGCTCAAGTGAGCTTTTCTGATCAAAATCTGTCCGTTGTCTGTCGTTGTTGTTGTCGTTGTCGTTGGCGTTGTTGTTGTTGTTGTAAACTTTTCACATTTTCATCTTCTTCTCAAGAACCACTGGGCCAAATTCAACCAAACTTGCCACAAAGTATCCTTGGGTGAAGGGGATTCAAGTTTGTTCAAATGAAGGGCCATGCCCTCTTTCAAGGGGAGATAATTAGGAATTAGTGAAAAAATAATGGCATCATTTAAAAATCTTCTTCTCAAGAACCACTTGGCCAGGAAAGATGAAACTTATGTGGAAACATCCTCAGGTAGTGTAGATTCAAATCTGTTCAAATCATGACCCCCGGGGGTAGGGTGGGGCCACAATGGGGGATCAAAGTTTTACATAGAAATATATAGGAAAATATCTTTAAAAATCTTCTTAAGAACAGCAAAGCCATGATTGGTCATATTTATATGGAAGCATCCTCAGGTAGTGTAGATTCAAGTTTGTTCAAATCATGACCCCCGGGGGTAGGGTGAGGCCACAATGGGGGATCAAAGTTTTACATAGAAATATATAGGAAAATATCTTTAAAAATCTTCTTCTTAAGAACAGCAAAGCCATGATTGGTCATATTTATATGGAAGCATCCTCAGGTAGTGTAGATTCAAGTTTGTTCAAATAATGACCCCCGGGGGTAGGGTGAGGCCACAGTGGGGGATCAAAGTTTTACATAGAAATATATAGGAAAATATCTTTAAAAATCTTCTTCCTAAGAACAGCAAAGCCATGATTGGTCATATTTATATGGAAGCATCCTCAGGTAGTGTAGATTCAAGCTTGTTCAAATCATGACCCCTGGGGGTAGTGTGGGGCCACAATGGGGGGGGGGGTCAAAGTTTTTCATAAGAGTATATAGAAAAAAACTTTAAAAATCTTCTTCTCAAGATAAGCAAAGACATGATTGGTCATATTTATATATTTATATGGAAGCATCCTCAGGTAGTGTAGATTCAAGTTTGTTCAAATCATGACCCCCGGAGGTAGGGTGGGGCCACAATGGGTGATCAAAGTTTACAGAGGAATATATAGGAAAAAATCTTTCTCTCAAGAACAGAAAAGCCATGATTAGTCAAATTGATATGGAAGCATCGTTGGGTAGTATAAAATGAAATTTGTTGAAATGAGCGCCCCCAGGGGTAGGGTGGGGCCACAATGGGGGATCAAATTTTTACAAATGAATATATGGGAAAAAATCTTCTGCTCAAGAACAGCAAAGTCATTTGTGATATTGATATGAGAGCATTGTTAGGTAGTTAAAATCCCCCCCCCCCCCCCCCCCCCGGTTAACTTTTCAATACTGAACTGATTTTTGCTTTTTTTCCTAGCCAATGTGCTCAGGTGAGGGATGTGGCCCATGGGCCTCTTGTTTTTTCATTCTAGACCAAGAAAACAAAGAACAGAAGGTAGAAAGAAAAGAAAAAAGAATTCATCAGACAGCAACTCAGAGGTTAGTGCAAAGAGATAGAAAGAATTAGTAACAAACTTAGGTGTAGGTATAGAAGCAATTGTTCTAAAATTTGTTAAAAATGTTTTCAGTTAAGTGTAAAACAGTTGTATACAACAGTGCTATTCATATACGTACTTTGTTCTAATTACAGTTATTCATCTGTAATTAGTAATAATTTAACTCTGTAGCTCGCTGGTCTGAAAATATTGGAATGGACGACCAGAGAGCTACAGTGCCACCCATTGCAAAAAAGTGTATATCTGTTGCGCATAAAAATGTGCACTTCTGATTTATTTCTCTGTATATTTAAGCTGCCATCTCAAAATATTACTAACCATGTGTTCCTAACATATTCTTTTACTACTTCCACTACAAAATATTCCCAAAAACCAATCGGTCCTTCCTGGGCCTAAAATTGAGACCGTCGGAAATTTTGCCTATTTATACTGCCGTTTTAGGTGGCAAGACAATTTAGTCCAATGCACTTCATGCATGACTTGTACATACAGTATTCTTTTGAAAGTAGTAAAAGAATATGTTAGAAACACAGACTTAGTAATATATTTTGCAATGGCAGTTTAAATGTATGGAGAAGGAAATCAAGAAAGAGAACATTCTTTGTGCACAATATACAGTGCTCCCCAGTTATAATTCCCCCCATTATGATGCCACCCCTGCTTAACGCCAAAAAAATTTGAAGTCCCAATTTCCTCACTATATAAAACCCCGTTTTAATGCCATTTCCCCACCGATTGCCATCTGCCAACATATTTTGAGTACAAATCTGTCTATTAACATTATTAGCATCCCCGTTATTACCGCCAATAAAAATTCTTTTTTCAAAAATGGGATTGGTAGTTCTGCGTTATAAAATAAAGTTAAATGACAAACATACATGTATTTATACACCTCTAAAAATTAGTCTACATGTTCAAAACTCATTTATATTAATCATTAAATGATCATTATATTGTTAATTTTTTTTTTATCTGACTCTGCAACCCGGTTTTGTATGCAGTAGAAAAATAAAACATGTTAATATAACTAAGAATAATGGATGCATAAATAATCAGCCAAATTACATTTTATGTATTTAATTGAAATGAGAAGTAAATTGCACAATGAAGTATCAATTTCACTGGTGACATGTGCAATGGAGCAAAACTAATCCCTGTCGGTTTCCTATGTTAGCTAAATATTCATGAGATAATCAAGCCATGTTGTGTTTACAAGCAGTAATTGGGGTTTCTACATTTCCTAGGCGTGAAAAACTGAATACTATGCATACATACCTATACTTTGTTCCATTTTAACAAGTGTTGAATAAGGAGGTGTGTTATATTAGGACGCCCAACATGGACTTAAAGTTTGGTTTAAAATTGTGAATCAATTGTGATGCAGTATTTGGAATCCAAGGACTTTGCATCAGAAAATAACACAGACATCTTGTTATTATTAAACACTAAAAAACAATCATAAAAACAATCAACAATAGATAATTGTTTTAAAAATTAAACATACCAAAATTATTATAAAGATTTAGTAACAATAAATGCCAATTTCTTCAGCTTTCAAGTGCCTAATTACATTAATCCTTTTTAATGCATCCCCCGTTATAACACAAAATTTGCCGAGGTACAAATGTTGGTGGTAAAATGGGGGAACACTATTTATAAATACATGTATATAAATAAACAACTACAGTCACCTTTTGTTAATAGGAGGAAGAGAATGAGAATGGTTCCAGTACAGAGACAGATGAAGAGAGTAGTCAGCACACACAGCTGTCCTCCATGTCAGCCATTAATAATGATCAACATCAGGGAATTCCCTCTGCCACATACCCAAATCCCATCAACTCTGGAGAAAACCCGGAGGCTATGATGTCCTATCCATCCACCAGCAGTATGCCCAGCCATCCAGCTTACCCTCCACCAGGCTGCTACCCTCCCCAGGGACTACCTGGTCTACCCCCACAGGGAATGCATAATCCTTACTCTATGCAAATGAATAATCACATGTAAGTGCCTTAAATAAATACTTACACATGTATGCACCAGAAAATTGCAGAGTGGAAAAGAAATCGGTCATCTTGTTTTAAGAACAAATTTTGATTGAATTATGATTACATGTAATAAAATATTTTTATACCTTTTCAGAATACTGTACAGGGGATTAATTTCACGAGTTGTAATTTTCACGTTTTTCTGTCCACAGACACAATCGCGGTTTTATGAATTAGCGGAATATATATGAAATGAAAGTTACCTCCCTTTGTCCGTTACAAGTTAGCCAGAATGATAACTGGGTGTTAAAAAATAAAATAGTGTCCATCAACGAGATGTATTCACTACATGAACTAGATTCAATTTAATTAAAGGTGTTAGATTTGTTAATTCATTGCAACAAATGCTGTTTAACAGCTTTGACAATAAGCATCAAATGACTTCTCTGGGTGCTATTACGATGAGTTGTGTCATACTATATTTAAAATTCCCCTTTCCGAAGGGGTAAGAAAGTAGTTTTCCACTAGTCCATATGCTAACACCTTAACAAGATGATAAATGCATTATGTCGACAAAATAATATCATTCAGTGTACAGGAACCCCCCCCTTGTTTTTTGCCGAGAGAGAGAGTATAAAAAGGTTTGTTGAAATAGATATCTGTACGTCTAACTCACGTTTTAAATATAAACCTTAAACAACAGTTGCTCATATTCCACTTGCTATCAAATTTTCCTTTCCCCCATTTACCTTCACTATTCCTCTCTTTCAGCATTTTTATTTATGAGTGAATGGAAAAAATATTTATTTCAATACTAGCATATAATAAGTAACATGATATCGGATTTCGACGATCTTCGGCTACATGCGTACCATTTTCGTATTATCTTTTGAAGGAACTAAATCAAATAAGTCAATAAAAGGATTATGCATAAGGCCACAGTAAATAATATGTAATTCTTCGTTTGAGATAGGTATTCAAAAACTTACCACAGAAAAAAAAGTTTTTCAATTTGTAAAATAAAATTTCTATGTTTTCTTTGGAAATGCTGCAAATTCAATTTTAAGACTTCAGTAGTTTCTGGAATGAGTTTGTTTTTTTATTCGGACTTGGGGGGGGGGGTTACCTTTACAACATAAAACAAAGATATTATTTACCATGACCTAAGAATTTCTGTGTGTGTGTGAATCTATGTTTGAGTGCGCGCGTTTGGGGGGGGGAGGGGGGTCACCACCCTGGAACCCCCCCTTCCAAAAATTGCTGGATCCGCCCTTGAGGTGACAGGTACACCGCAGTTGTAATGTAATTTACTAATGGGTAATCAAAACCCTTGTGATTTGATTGATCAGGTGTAGCTTTGGCTATTGAAATAGCTATTTAACATAAATACTGGTCATTATCTGCTGATTTGAATTTATGAAGAGTATGGTAATTAAAGTATTTGAATGACTAGTACAACTTGTAATTACTGAAGATTATATGTAATATATATCTACTGGCAGTTTGGAATCATTTCTAAATAAACAAAAATGAATAATTTATTGATAACTTATTCACTGTTTCTTGAATTCACAGATTTATTAACAGTTATTTTGCCCATATACAGTATACTGTATTGCAAAGGCTATTTTAATACCATGTGTAAATGATATGATATTTCTTTTCAGGCCACAACAGACACAACCCCTGAATCTGTGTAACAACCCCTCATACAACCCATCTATGTACATGTCATCGGGTTACCCATTTCCCTCCTCATTAGGTTATCCCTACCCACCTCATATGAATCCTATGCCTCCACCACACGACTCTCATCCAGGTATGAATCACTCCTCAGCCACCATGCCTGGCCCCTCCCATCTGCCGGTCTACCCCAAGGCTCCGCCACAATGTGATCAAGGACAGGACTTGTCTCAATCTAATATAAATCCTATAGCTCCCACTATGGCATCACATGCAAAACAAACTCCACCCAATTCAGCTGAAGATGATGATTATGATGCATGAATGGATTTCTGTGACCTTTCAACATGAATTTTATGCAAATTGACCTCCAATGGGGAAAGAGAACAAACTCAGGATCATTTGTGAACCATTTTATTCTGTTGTCATTTGATATAGTGTATTGATCTGTTAAAAACATAAATTGGTTAGTACATTTGTACTTGTAACTTTGTTTTGTTTTGAAAAAATTATTTGTCACCTTTTGAGATTGTTTGATGAACTCAGTATTTTTCACTGTTTGTTATGTTGCCTATAAAATATGCTATAGCTACACAGGTATACAGACGCTTATGATTATAAAAGAAATATGAATTTTTTAATTTAAAATATACATGTATATTACTTTAAATATAATCCTGGGTCACCAGTGCAGCTAGTATTTGCTTGAACATATTACACCAGAAACACAACAAATGAAATAGTATTCTGTCTATAGAGCTGTATAATATACCAAAATTGCCATGGATTTTATCATCTCGTCATTTATGATGAATTTTGCATTTGCTTTAGAATATAAGGGAACTAATGGTTGTATATTGCATATACTATAAGAGTTATTGATTATCAATAGCAGTTGTGATATCTCCCTATAAAGTACTTAATCATAGTCTTTCCATGAAAAATGTATTTCAGGAATAAATGAAATGTAACATGTCAGGTGATAATTTGATGATACGATTTCATTTTAAAAAAACATCACTATCTATTACTTGTGTGAATGCCTGCATTTTGACATGTACTAAATTGCTTATCTTATCAGCATGTATCCATGCAAGAAAAAAAAATGTTTAAAAAGCTTTGGAAGTCATTATTCTAAATAGAGGAACAGAGTGAAACAGTGATTTGAATTATCATATATGTGCTACATGAATAAGACCAAGACTTTGAGAGTTAATATGGACTACATACTGTGTTTCCCAACATCACCTTGTATGAAGTCAGTACATCTATTTTTAACTTAAGTAAAGCTGTGTTCTGATTTTATTTGATGTGTGAATGATTAAAGTGATTGAACTGAATTAGTTTTGACACAATACATTTTGATTCCGATGTTATCCACATAGAGACTCTAGTACATTAAATATATATATATATATATATATATATATATATATATATATATATATATATATATATATATATATATATATATATATATATATACATAAACACCAGAAGTCTCTGTTGAGACTGTAGCTCTAATGGTTTGTACTTATAACAAAGGAGGAGAAAAGTAGCACTTGGAATTGAAACTTTGCAACAGCAATAAATAGGATATGATCCTTGGTTTAGTCTCTTTTTGTGGCAAAACTAATTGCAATCGGACTAAAACTGCAGGAGAAGTAGCCTTTTAAAAGAATTTTACAGAAATTTCGATTTTAGTTACCATAACAACATCATTCATCAAAATCAAAAAACGATAAAGACAATTATGTATCTCAGTGTAGTCTACTTGAATGCCACGTTATATTAAAATCAGACCAAAACTGTAGGAGGAGTAACATTTTGAAAGATTTCACAAAAATTCTATTTTTAGGTTACCTGAGTCACTTAGGTGACCTATTGCTATCGTTTTCGTCTGTTGTGCATCATCTGTCATGTGTTAACTTTTGAATATTTTCAGCTCCTTCTCAGAAACCGCTGAACCAATTTCGGCCAATTTTAACATGTGGCATCTATGGGTGAAGGGGAACAAAATATGTGAATTTCATGGTCCCTGCCCCCTGTGTGGCCTGAGGGGTGGGCTAAAACCTCAAAATTAATGCAAACTTTAAAAATCTTCTTTACTCCTGGACATCAAGCAGTCAAACTGTTGGCATGATTGTAATAAGCATTGAGCCCTCTACAAAAATTGTGAAATTCATGGCCCCAGGATCAGGGGTTCTGGTGCTAGGACGGGGCTCTAATGATTATATAGTGAAAATGCATTAATTCTTTGAAAATCTTCTCTGCTCATGGGTATTTAGCAAATGAACTAAGTACATAGTTATGATGAGGAAGAGTGCTTCTTCCAAAATTGTGAATTTCATGGCCCCTGGGTCAGGGGTTATGGTGTTAGGCTGGGACTCTGATGATTATTTAGTGAAAATGCATTAATTCTTTGAAAATCTTCTCCTCAGCTCTTGGGTATTAAGCTGATGAACTAAGTACATAGTTATGATAAGGAAGAGTGCCTCTTTCAAAATTGTGAATTTCATGGTCCCAGGGTCAAGGTTTCTGGTGATAGGGCGGGGCTATAATGATTATATAGTGAAAATGCAATAATTCTTTAAAAATCTTCTCCTGGGTATTAAGCAAATGAACTAGTACATAGTTATGATGAGGAAGAGGGCCTCTTCCAAAATTGTGAATTTCATGGCCCCTGGGTCAGGGGTTCTTGTGTTAGGGTGGGGCTCTAATGATTATATAGTGAAAATGCATTAATTCTTTGAAAATCTTCTCCTCAGCTCCTGGGTATTAAGCTGATGAACTAAGTACATAGTTGTGATGAGGAAGAATGTTTCTTCCAAAATTGTGAATTTCATGGTCCCTGGGTCAGGGGTTCTGGTGTTAGGGTGGGTCTCTAATGATTATATAGTTAAAATGCATTAATTCTTTGAAAATCTTCTCCTCTGCTCCTGGGTATTAAGCCAATGAATTAAGTACAAAATTATGATGAGGAAGAGTGCCTCTTCCAAAATTGTGAATTTCATGGCCCCTGGGTCAGGGGTTTGTGGGGATGGGGGCTTATTTATTATATACTGAAAATAAGTTAATGCTTTGAAAATCTTCTCCTCTGCCCCTTGGTATTTAGCAAACAAACTAAATACATATTTCTGATGAGAAAGGGTGCCTCTTCCAAAATTGTGAATTTCACATCCCCAGGGTTAGCTGTTCTTGTGCTTGGGTGAGACTCTATTGATTAATCAGCAAAAATGCATTAATGCTTTGAAAATCTTCTCCTCTGCCCCTGAGTACTAAGCAACCAAACTAAATGCAATAATATCAATGTGAATGTATTAAATAAAATTACAAGTAAATGTGCCTTTTCTTTGTTCCTGGGTATCTAGGAGGCAAAAAGAGTACACAATTGTAGTAAGTGACGCAAATGAGAGTTACTCCCCTTTGCTAGATGTTGTTAAGCAAGAAATCCTTGTATATAATTTAATAATAGGTTATTTGATTGATTGAGAATACAAGAAAGAATGTTATATAAATAGAAACAAAATAAAAATGAATGTTTGGTTTAAACAAACAAAGCAGGCTCAAAATCAAATTCTTGCTTAGCAAGTGATATAAAGGATTGACATAAAGATTATTTATGTAGCAAAGGACTAGTTGTACTTAGTATGTATACACTGGGGTGTTTTGTTTGATGATAGAAAGAGTTATGGTAAGGTAAATTCATGGAGAAAGGAGTTTAGATTGCTAGAGTCTGCCTGAAGTTGCTTGTGCTGGTAGCAAGTATTACCAAGTTCATTGTATAGCCAAGAGGCAAGTGTTGGTACCAAGTGTTACCACGTGCAAGCAGCCAAGTTGTTTGTGAAGCCAAGAAGCATCACCTCGAGTAAATATACGGGCATTAGAGATTTCTCTCTGTGTACTTAATTGTAGCACTAGGCAAGTGACAAAAACAATATCTGTATATATTGAATACCTTAAACACTAAGCAAGTGTCCTTTGTACATTTAAAAGCATTGAATCATTATTTTTTGAAAGATATAGTCTCATAACTGCAACGGTGTGTGCAAACAAATTGAGTAACGCGTGTTAGTGCCTGGTACACACCAGATTTGCTTGGGATGCTGGATCTGACCTACATTTTCCAGATGAGCAACCAGCTTAAATTTTTGGAGCAGGTCTTTTACCAAGAAACTATATGGGTATCAAGGGTTGCAAACTACCAGAGTTGTTTTGAATGCTTGATTTAACCTACATTTTCCAGAGAGTGACCAGGTTAATATCGGAGCAGACTCCTTTAGTGTAGCTCCAAGCCCTATCTGGACCAAACTTGCATGGATTTTGCATCTATGGATGCACACTATCAGACTTGCTTTGGATGCTGGATCTGACCTACATTTTCCAGATGAGTGACCATGTTAAAGTTTTTTGAATAGGTTCATTCCAGTGATACTTCAAGCCCAACCTCGACCAAACTTACCTGGAGGATGCATCAAGGGATGAACACTCTCAGACTTACCTCAGATGCTGGATTGACCTATGCTTTCTGGATTAGTGACAATGTTAGTTTTTTGAGCAGGTCCATTCCGAAGTAACTGTATGGCCTACCTGGACCACACATGTATGGTTGATGCATCAACGGATTTGCTCTTTATGCTACATCTGACTTGCATTTTCTGAATGAGTGACCAGGTTAAAGTTTGTTAGAACAAATCCATTCCCAAGTAACTGCAAGCCCTACCTGGACTAAAATTGCATCAGTGATGCATCTTGAGATGCAAACTACTAGATTATTAGTGTGGGACTTTGACTTACTTAACGATAACATTTGTTGAGTTGAGCTGTGTATTCTTTGATTACCTACGTTTGAAGATTCCATTCATTTTGATAGTTTGGGCCATATTTTATATGGGCCCTATCCCTCAGACCCTAGGGAGGCAGAGACCAGAAAAATCACAAATTTGTTCCCCTTTGCCCATAGATGCTATGTGCTAAACTTGGTTGAAATTGGTTCAGCAGTTCCCGAAAAACTAAAGATGTTCAAATGTTAACAGATGATAAGTGATGACGGACAAAAACAGATACTAGTAGCAATGGGTTATCTCCCAGTGACTCAGGTGACCTAAAAAGTGTCATCTCAGTGTGGCCCCACCCTTACCCCAATGGCCATGATTCGAACAAATTTTAAATCTACACTACTTGAGGATACTTACATATTACATGAAATTGACTAATCATAGTCTACTTGTTATTGAGAATGGCTTTGTTATTCTTGAGAAAAAGATTTGTAAAGATATTTTTCTTATATACATGTATTTCCATGTAAAACTTTGATCTCCTATTGTGGACCCACCCTATCCCTGTGGGTCATGATTTGAACAAAATTGAATCTGCACTACCTGAAAATTCTCGTATATTAATATGACTAACCACAGCACTGCTGTTCTGAAGAAGATTTTTAAGATTTTTCCTATTATGTACATGTATTCCCCTGTAAAAACTTCGACTATTGTAACCCTACCCTTCCCATGGGGACTATGATCTGAACAAACTTGAATCTACACTATTTCAAATAAAGTTCATAGAAGTTTTCTCTTTTCTGGCCAATGGTTTTGAGAAGAACATTTTTAAGACACCTACCCAATTTATGTCTTTCTTGAATATTGGCCAATAGGCAGGCAAACTGACAAAGGAGACAATCAGAAAAGTTTCTTAAACTTTTAATCAGGTAAGCTAAAAAAAAGAAATTTTAATGAACTGAATGAATAGTAAAGGGCACCCCTAAATCCTAGCAGGACCCTAATGAAAACCTTTGTATGGTTCTTTATCTGCAGTAGCAATAAAATATCTCAGCAATCCCTGAAAACTCCCCCTTGAAATCAAAGAAAACAAAAAAATACACTACACAATTAAAATTTCTGCAGGGTAATAAACAAATATACATGTATTTCTGAGTAAATATGATGTCTTAAACAAAGGACGAAGAGCTGAGTTTTCATTAAAAATATTTATTGCTTTAATAAACAGGAAAGCATTTTCATCTCTTCTTTTTGACATTTTTCTGTCCTTGTTTAAATGATTGTTTTCCTTTGCCTCTCTGTTTCTTGTTTCTCAAGTTTTTATTCTTCCCTTTAATCCAACTATCACGTTCCATTTCCCATTTCAGCTGTTTAGCACCTAAATTAAATCGAAAATACATATATATTAATAATGAACCTGCTACATATAAATACACTAGCTAGCACTGTTCCACTTTTATAAGTGTTAATAAACAATTAACTTAAAGCTATTTTCAGCATACAAAAAGTAACCTTTTATTTACCATACACACAATGTTGAAGTAAAGACATTGTCCAATTAATTTACAAGATTCATATGCATGTACATGTACTACAAGGAAATTAAGTTTGAATCCTTCAGTCTAATAGTGTCTCCAAACAGACAAATTACAGACGACAGACTGGCTACAGACAAACCTTCACAAAAACAAGAGGCCCATGGGCCACAACGCTCACCTGAGTCAATATAGCCCTGCTGTTCTTTGTCAGAAGATTTCTTCTTCTATATATTCATATGTAAAGCTTTGATTGCCTGTTCTAGGCATACCCTATCCCCAGGTGCCATGTTTTGAATGAAATTGAATCTAAACTTTCTGAGGATGCTTCTATATTCATGTAACTATAATCATAGTTTTGCTGTTCTTGAAAACAGAAATTTAAAGATGTCTGCCACCCTACCCTGGGGGGTAGGAGGGGGGGGGGGTCATGATTTGAACAAACTTGAATCTACACTACCCGAGGATGCTTCCATATCAATATGACTAATTATGGCTTTGTTGTTCTTGAGAAAAGATTTTTAAAGATATTTCTTATATATATTCTTTTGTAAAACTTTGATCCCCCATTATGGCCCCACCCTACTACTACAGGATGCCTTGAACAAAATTGAATCTACAATACTTGGGGATGCTTCAATATCAATATGACTAATCAAGGCTTTCCTGTTCTTGAAAAGATTTTTCCTATATATTCCTGCGTAAAACTTTGATCCCCTATTGTTGCCCCACCCTACCCCCAGGGGTCTGGATTTCAACAAACTTGAATTTACACTATCTGAGGATGATTCCACATCAAAATGACTAATGTTGGCTTTGTTGTTCTTGGAAAAAGATTTTTTTAAAAGATTTTTTTCTACATATTCATATGTAAATCTTAGATCCCCCATTGTGGCCCCACCCTACCCCTGGGGGTCATGCTTTGAACAAACTTGAATCTACACTACCTGAGGATGATTCCATATCAATATGACTAATTGTGGCTTTGTTGTTCTTGAGAAGAAGATTTTTAAAGAATTTTCCTATATATTCCTATGTAAAACTTTGATCCCTCATTGTGGCCCCACCATACCCCCTGGGGTCATGATTTGAACAAATTTGAATCTACACTACCTGAGGATGATTCCATATCAATATAACTAATTGTGGCTTAGTTGTTCTTGAGGAGAAGATTTTTAAAGAATTTTCCTATATATTCCTATGTAAAACTTTGATCCCCCATTGTGGCCCTACCCTACCCCCGGGGGTCATGATTTGAACAAATTTGAATGTACACTACCTGAAGATGATTCCAAATCAATACTAGAACTGTCCAAAAGGGACAAATACCCCCCGCTGGGTTTTTCAGAGGTGCCAAATCACTAATATTTTATGGATCAAAGAGGTGTTCACAATTTTCTTATTAACATTTAGAGTGAAAAAATAATTGCTCATTATATTTTTTTAAGAATGAAACTAAGGAACAACCTAATAAAACATCAATACCAATACATTGTAATTACATTGTTTTTAATACATTGAAAAAATAAATTGCAACTATCTGTCATCTTTTTGAGAAATGACATTCTGCAAATTGATTTTTTGAAAACAAAAATCAATTAATTACAAAATCAAATTAATCTTCATAACTTTATATCAAATTCATTTTAAAAATGAAAAGCTGGTCATCCTTTAACTATGTACTATGACAGACAATAAATTACAATGAAGAGAATTAAAGAACAGAGATCTTTAGACTCCCAGGAGATATAGATAACACATGCTTAATCAGAGATGCCCTAACAACTTCCCACACTGAACTCATTAATTAATCTTTAACTGGATGCATGTCCACTCATTACTCCCAAGGGACAAATGGATTTACACTATTTGCTGTGTAATGTAAAAATTGTTTTTAATACTTGGTGATTTTTTTTTTTGTTTTAATGAATAGTTTTAAGCTGTAGTTCACATTTTTGTACAGATGTTCTAGATTCTGTGTCTCAAACCTTAGAAATAAACCCAAAATGACTAAGTCAATAAATTAAAATGAAAAAAAAAACCTGTGAAATGCAGAAAAATTATCAAAAAATGTTGAAAATACCAGGTGCACATCTTCATATGGTAAATAATCAGTGTACAAATTTTCACACAATTCTATGAAATAGTCTTTGAGAAAAGGTCAGGACAAAACCACATGATAAAAATGAAAAAACACCTGTAAAATGCAGAAAAATTATTCAATCATGATGAAAATACCAGGTGCAAACCTTCATATGGTGAATAATAAGTGTACAAATTTTCAGACAGATCTATGCAATAGTTTCCGAGAAACGCTCTGGACAAAATCTTGTCTACAGACAGACGGACAGACGGACAGACAGACGGACAGACAGACGGACATGGTGATTCCAATATACCCCCCTAAACTTCGTTTGCGGGGGGTATAATGATTAATTGTGGCTTTGTTGTTCTTGAGAAGAAGATTTTTAAAGAATTTTCCTATATATTCCTATGTAAAAACTTTGATCCCTCATTGTGGCCCCACCCTACCCCCAGGGGTCATGATTTGAACAAACTTGAATCTACACTATGTAATGAAGGTTTCCCATAAGTTTCAACTTTTCTGGCCCAATGGTTCTTGAGAAGAAGATTTTTAAAAGAGGACACCAAATTTTCACCAATTCTTAATTATCTCCCCTTGGAAGAGGGCGTGGCCCTTCATTTGAACAAACTTTGAACAAACCCCCTTCACCCAAGGATGCTTTGTGGCAAGTTTGGTTGAAATTGGCCCAGTGGTTCTGGAGAAGAAGTCGAAAAGGTGAAAAGTTTACAGACAGATGGACGGACAGACGGACTACAGACAAAATGTGATCAGAAAAGCTCACTTGAGCTTTCAGCTCAGGTGAGCTAAAAAGCCCACCTGAGCATCTGGTCGGGTGAGCTTACAAACTGGCTAATACACTGTACATAATCTTTTCTGAAGGTTCTCCAACTCAATAGTTCTTGCGGCAGAGATGTTAATAGGCCGAAATTATTTTCATTACCGGTATTTCTTAATCATCTCCCCTTTGAAACTGACACAGCCCTTCATTTGACAGAGCAAAAACAAACAAACAAAACAAAACATGAATCCCCTATACCCAAGGATGTTTTGCACCTTTGGCTGAAATTGAGCAGTGGTTATGAAGAAAAGTTGAAAATGAATAGAGAGGAGGACAAAAAGTGACAAACTTTGAAAAGCACACTTTAAAAAAAGTTTGATTTGGGTGAGCTGGTAAAAGTAAGAAACATTAAGGGTTGCTTCATCCAGGCCAATTACAGAGTAAAGGGAAGTAGGTTTTTATTTGGATGACCCTCTCACAGATATGGTACCAATACAAACATTCTTTCCCATATGTTTAACTATGTCTACATAAAAATAAAACATAAACATTAAAAATAAAAAAAATTAAGAACAGATTTACATCCTAAGACATGTTTGCTGATTACTTACTGGATTTGTCCTGGTTGGATAAAGCACTGGATCCCAGCGTGTCCCATCCAGAACCAGCACTCTCTTCTATCATATCAGCAAACTAAAGAAGCATCCACACAATTAAATTTTGGATTGTGGCCTTATCTAGCTACAAATGTGCTCACCACTTGACAATCATCTACAACAGTTTAGTGCATTTTTTGTGTATAAGTTGTTTATCATGAAATGACAAAAGTCTTCTTTACTTACTTCATCTGCTGAAGCAAATAGATTGGAGTCAAATTTGTCAGATCTGTAAATAAAAACAGAATATTCAAAACAAGAAATAAGACAAGTATTTTTTTTATTTCCATTGCCAACTTAAGCCCGAACAACATCATAAATTGCATTTTACTCCATAAATGAAGCATGGTCCATTTTAACATTTGCACGAGGTAAAATTCCAAAGATTTAAATTTCATGTTCCATTCTCACTGGACTCGTCAAATTAAAATGTTATGTATCTCCATCATACACAGATTTTACTTAAATATTTATGTATAGTATATAATGTGAAGTGCTTATCTTCAAAGATATTGAAAATAAATGATTAAAAAACTTTCAGCTGGATGTATACAAAATGACAAAGAGACAGATACATTGCTTATCAATTACTAAATGTCTATGTCATGAAAACTGGGGGATAAAAGAGCAGGAAGACACAGATTTTGTTCAATATTTGGGAAGTTTTTACACTACACTTACTTTTTCATTTTCTTATTGCCAACAGTAACAGCAGCTGACTTGACCTTGTGTTTTAAAGCTCTCTTCTTCTGTGTTAATTCCACAAATTCATCTGTAACAGGAAAATATGCAAACGATTATACAACCAAACATCATGATACCGATGATGGGAGATACAGTTAGATTGCAAATCAAGAAGAGAGGTCAAAGGACAACTCAAATATTAGCATTAGATGATTTCTCTTTAGTAGAAAAGACAGTTTGAGCTAAAGACAATAAATAAATTGAAATGTTGTTGCACAAATAATGAAAACCATAGACACCTGAATATATAATTATGTCATAGGTAGGGTAAATTCATTACATATTTTGTAGTGACTTAGTGCAGAATGATATCTGGTTAACAGTAAATTTCACATCAGCCTCGGCTTCACCACGCGAGGTATAAAAATTACTCTCCAGGTATCATCCCATACCCAGTCACTACATGACTATGTAGTCGCCCGCGTGGCACAGTGGTTAGAGCATTTGCTCTAGAGTCGCAGTGTAAGAGATGATTTATATGTCCTGATTTCGAATCCCACTGCAGGACATGGAGACTAGTCCTTCAGATGAGACGATATAAACCAAGGTCTCCTGTCACCGTTGGTGCTGACACGAAAATGATCCCTTACTGCTCAAACGCCATAAATGCCAAGTACAGGTCTAAATTTGCAGCCCTACACCGGAAAGTGGTGGCGTCTCAATATGAGTGAAAAATTCTCGAAGAGGCATTAAACAAACATACAAACAAAAACATAACAATGTAACAAATACTACCTTCAGCACTACTGGCCTCCTCTTCCACACCATCTTCAATATCAGCATCAAACTCCTGGAATTCCTTGGCAAAATCCTCATCATGTTCAAAGTTCATCTCCTCATCAGACAGATCCATATCATCATCCTCCTCCTCACTAACGTCTTCATCATCAGATTCCATCACCAGTTTGCCTTTCTTTGTGGCCTTCATGCCCACAGCACTGTTATCATAATACATACTTTAATATAAACTAATTACCTATACATGTATGTGTCTGTTATCAAAGTAAAATTTGAGCAACGTCTGTCCTTTACACTATGTACCATAAGAACAGTTTTAATATGAACCATTCCAATACATTTATTTTATGACCCTACTTTACGGAGTTATTGTTGAAGTTACATAACTGTAACATAATGCCAGCAATGCATAGAGCAAATATCATAATTATGATTACTGTACACACTGAGAGAAAGCAAAACTAAATACATGTACCTGGCAAAGTCTATGTCTGAACCACTGAAGTTACCACCAATATCACCACCTTCAAACTGTTTCTCATATGTATCTGTAAATAAAATGTTTTACAACTGATTTACATAGTGGGACAACAATTGTTATATACTTCTTTTAATGTGCAATGTGTATTTAAAGGTGAAATAATTAATAATGGCAGTCATCAAGCTACATGTGTTAATGTTACAAACATCAAGTACTACTGTCGATTCCTTATTTTTCACGAGTACTTATTATCACAAAATGGCTCTTTAACGTCAAATCGCAAGAACAATAAATCGAGATTGAACATTTAGTCAAGAAATTTTACATGGATTTTAGCACCATAAATATAAAAGCTAGTAATTTTATTTCATAAGTGGTGTTTCTCATGAAAATACGCGATAATTAATTCCTCGCCTATATTTAGGAATCTACAGTAAGTCACCACATCAGATAAGACAATCAGGAAATATCTAATTAAAACAACAAAGATTTCAACAAAAAGACTTGTTACTGTTTATATATTGATGTTTAATTACCAAGATACTTATCGAACCCTGTGTCATCAGTTAGAGTGTATTAATATATAATTACAGAGATACTCGTCAAGCTGTGTCCCCTATTAGACCAAATGTTTATGTAAAATTACCGAGATACTCAACAAACTCAAAGTCCCTTATTAGACCAACTGTTTATGTATAATTACCGAGATACTCCTCAAACTCTGAATCTTATATTGGACTGTTTATGTATAATTACCGAGATACTCATCAAACTCTGTGTCACTGACTTCCTCATCACTCTCCTCCTCCTCTTCCTCCAGTTCTTTTCTTTTCCTCTCTTTTTCTGCTTTCTGCTTGAAGAATCTGCCACATAAACAATATATTTACAACTGGGTTTATATTCAAGTCCTTATAATTCAATCAAGTTTCATTCAAAATTTCTGCAAATTTTTTAAATGGTTACCTCTGTTTGTAAATATATTCCCCTTGAGTACTGATTATAAATGTCACTTTCTCCAAGAAGTTGGCAGAAATACACAGAAAGGTACATCATTTCTTGTAGCTTACCTATGGTAGAATATTTCCTCTGCTGGAAGGTAACTCTCTGCTTTCTGTAAATATTCCTCACTGGAAACAGGGACTTTCTTCACTCCCTTTAGTCTAGTTGTTTTAGTGTTGAACTTTGACCGGGACAAGGTACCCTGCATTTCTGTGACTACATTATGTAAAAAACCTCTTCATAACTACTACATTATTTCAGAAAAGTAAAAATTTTAACAAAACAACTATTTTGTGGAGACTTTTCTAAGAAGTACACATACATGTTTCCGGCTTTTTGGGATTCTTATATACAAATCTGTCCAGGAATCTGATAATGGTGAAGTCCTGCAGAGGGTCTCCTGTATACCTAACATGTTCACCCTGCAAATAAAGAAATTCACATTTTTCTAAAATTCCATGAGAAATATTATATTTCAGGAAAATTGTTAAAATACTGTGGAATTATTAGATTTCGTGTGGCTCAACATTCATGGAATTCATGGGTACTTTTCATCCACAAATATGTGGTTAGAGTGTCTGCTCTAGAGTCGCGGCATAAGGAGTTGATCCTTATGTCACGGGTTCGAATCCCATTGTGGGATGTGGAGACCGGTCCTTCGGATGAGACCATATAAACCGAGGTCCCGTGTCGCAGTAAGTGCTGGCACGAAAAAGATCCCTCACTGCTCAATGAAGTCAACGTAAGTGCCGAGTATAGGACAAAATTTGCAGCTCTCCACCGGCAAGTGGTGGCGTCTCCATATGAGTGAAAAATTCTCGAGAGGGACGTTAAACAACATACAAACAAAACATCCACAAATATACATCCTCCATGAATAAATATATATGGGTTTCAAAGTTATATTTCTAATGAATGCAAAATTTAAGCAATCCAAAAAAACTGGCCTCCACAAATTTTGATGACTCCACAGTATGATTTTGACAATGTTGATATTACCTTGAGAAGGTTTGATGCAAACAATGATACAGTCGGGTGGAAATGCTGAGAAAGTTTCTGTAATTCCCAAACACACTCCGAGTCTGCTCGACAGTACAGTGGATTCCTGTGTTGAGGGTCATACTCAGCTGCTTTTGTGAACCCTGAAAATACATGATAAAATATTCAAACCCTCATTTTAATATACATTTTAGGACTAGAAACACAAACAAAAGCAGAGTTCTGGCCATTCACCGGAGTTTTTAAGGTTTTTGTGAACCCAGGAGGACTTCACTTTTGACTTTGCTCCCTTCTGCTCATCCTCTGAATCACTGCTTTCTGAGCTACTTGTGTCGTCTGCTTCACTCTCATCAGGGGCAGGTAAATCTTCATAGTGCTCTTCATCATCAGAGTCCTGTGTTAAATTATTATAAAGCATTTTAAGAGAATTAATTATGTACTTTTTAAACATACAGTTGTTCATTTTATGCAATTGTATTTAAATGCAGTTCATATTACATGTATATTCTATTCCTTGCATAAAATAATCACTTCTGATAAAATAGGATTTTGTCATGTTTGGACAGATGCATAATGCAATATCCATTAGACTCAAAATAATTTTTCTTGGATTTATCAAACTTAGCACTTGAACTCTATCTTTACAAAAACCATGTATCTTGGGACAAAAAGTTTAAAAAATCTTAGTAAAAACACTGATGAAACATATGCTTGTGTAATATTCTGAAAACACTGATGAAACATATGCTTGTGTAATATTCTGTGATGTTGCATTGTGAAACACAGAACTAATATAAATTGGAAACAATTTTTCTTTGAAAAGATGATCCTATATTCAAAGGTCACCTCTGTATAAAGGTCACTTTTTAATGGTTCCCACAGGTGACTGCTTCATACAGGTTTGACTGTATTGTAAGATCACATTTTCCATAATCAGTCTTCTGCCTGATGATCATTAAAGGTAAAACTCCCATATTTACCTCTTCTGTTGTATGGTCCAATGTTAAGATGCCTTTGTGAACCTTCATCAGTTCTCCAAGAAGTACAAGAGCTCCACAAACAAACTGCACAGGCTGGTAGGAACAGACTTGTAAAAGTCGCTTCACAAAGGCCTAAAATAATACAGTGATTTCTTTACCACATATTATTCACCTTCCCTCTTACATGCACATATGTACAATGGGCACAGTACATGTTAAGATAAACAAAATAATATCTCTCCTTTATATAGAATGCACTTTTAAGTACATGCCTGTATACACACCCTTCAAATTACACAAGCATGAAAAATATACAGGGTTCAAATAGATAATCTGCTGTTGATAAATCACTAACCTTTACTCTTCTCTCTACACTGTCTTTCTTCATACTTTTAAAAAGAAGATTCAAGAACATGGCCTGCTTTGCTGTGTTCTTTAATTCAGGCTCCAACAACTTCTTATACAAGGCTACATAGTATCGGTCAGAGATGTTTTCACTGTCAATCAAATACAAGCAAAATCAATTCAAATGGTATATGTATAATATTAGTTGAGACAAAAAAATTAATTTTTTGCCCTTTGGCGACTGGTCAACTTCTTAACTTCTATATACATTTTCTATACAGAATTTTAAGCTAAAGAAATAAACAACATTTTCCAAATGGTAATTATCATAGTACTACCACTTAGTTACTAAAGAAATACCACAGAATAATCATTTCTGAATTTCATGGGTCACCATTACCCACAAAATCAATTCACATCCCCATGAATAATAACTTTGTCAATGTATCAGTTCATTAAATCTTCTATATCTACCAATTACCCATGAAAATACATTCCCACGAACCAGAAATTGTTCCCTATTCAATGCACTAGAGATACACACTTATATTTACACATACGCACATTTGTGTTGAGGCTTTGCAATAAGTTTATGATAACTGACCTGGAGTCCATGACCTGGTAGATCAGCATTAGAGCCTGGACACTAGTGTTAAAGTTTACTGTGTGGATGATCTTGTACAAAGTATTCATCTGATCACTGATGTAGTCTGCCTCCACTAAAAAAAAGTTACAAAAATATCATTACAAATCAAAAAACTTGGTTTAATTTGAAATTTCTACTCTGAATTATAACAAGGAATAATTTCTCAATATATATAAGATTCTATATCCTTTGGCATAAGGATAGGCACAGCTGACACTGTTCTGTATCTGAACAACTTACTCTTAGCAAAAGGATAGACATGGTAGTCACTGTTGTCTACTGAACTTACTTTAAGGGTAAGGATAGGCACAGTGGACACTATATGCTACTAAACAACTTACTCTTAGCATAAGGACATGCACATTTGACACTGTACAGTACTGAACAACTTCATTTTAGTGAAAGGATAGGCACAGTGGACACTATATGCTACTAAACAACTTACTCTTAGCATAAAGACATGCACATTTGATACTGTACAGTACTGAACAACTTCATTTTAGTGAAAGGATAGGCACAGTGGACACTATATGCTACTAAACAACTTACTCTTAGCATAAGGACATGCACATTTGATACTGTACAGTACTGAACAACTTCATTTTAGTGAAAGGATAGGCACAGTGGACACTATATGCTACTAAACAACTTACTCTTAGCATAAGGACATGCACATTTGACACTGTACAGTACTGAATAACTTCATTTTAGTGAAAGGATAGGCACAGTGGACACTATATGCTACTAAACAACTTACTCTTAGCATAAGGACATGCACATTTGACACTGTACAGTACTGAACAACTTCATTTTAGTGAAAGGATAGGCACAGTGGACACTATATGCTACTAAACAACTTACTCTTAGCATAAGGACATGCACATTTAATTAACACTTCACTGTACTGAACTACTTACTTTTCAGTATAAAGATAGGCACAATTGACACTGTTCTTTATTGAACAACTTACTTTTCGCATAAGGATAGGCATGGCTGCTACTGTTCTGTATCTAGACAACTTACTCTTAGCACAAGGATAGGCACGGTTGACAGTGTTCTGTACTGAACAACTTAATTTTAGCATAAGGATAGGCACGGTTGACAGCGTTCTGTACTGAATAACTTACTTTTAGCATAAGTATAGGCACGCTTGACACTATTCTGTACTGAACACTTACTTTTAGCATAAGGATAGGCACGGTTGACAGTGTTCTGTACTGAATAACTTACTTTTAGCATAAGAATAGGGACAGTTGACAGTGTTCTGTACTGAATAACTTACTTTTAGCATAAGGATAGGCACGGTTTACACCTGATAGGAGGGCACTCATCATCTTGCTATCAATTTCTCCTCTGTTTACAAATGACTGAAAAATAACATGGCTAACTCTTCATTCGAATAATTAACCAGATGTATCTGATGAAACTGGAGCTCTACTGATTTCAGCTTGTATATTCAAACAATTTATCTGGTTTTCAACCAGTGGAGAAATTAAATGCTAATTCTAATTATATATCAATGTACAAAACAAAATTAGGGCTAGTGTTTTAAAATCTTTGTTTTAGATCAAGTTTTACCTTGAAGAATGAGAAGTAGAGTCTGATGAGTTTCACAGCGAGATCCTTCTCTTCGTGACTCAACAACAGACGATTAATAAAACAGATGCAATAATATCTAAAAGAAAAAATTGTAGGAAATCTAATTTTTTAATTCAATGCCATAAAATTAACAAAACTGTCAGCTGTAAATTTGTCCTGTTTTCATATTGTAAGTTAAGATCTGTAAATTTCTTAAAGGATTAATATTGCAGTAAATTTTGGATAATACACACTGTGCTTTGACTGGGATGTTGGGTCGGTATAACAGCTGTTCCACTTCCTTAGTTACCACCATCTTCATGTTTGGATGTTTATCCACTGTCAAAAACATTAAGTAATACAGGTAATACATGTACTGAATTATAATATTTGATGATTTTTTAAAAATCAATATTTTCCTGAATATGTTGCAATAGTTATGCCCATATATTGTAAAAGCAAGAATTTTTCTTGGTGGATCAAATTTCATTCTTTTCATTGACATGGGTAAGCTTTTTTAACAAAATTAAATCACTTACACTACAATAAAAATGTTTCTTACTTATATTACTAGGATGAAAAAAACCACACATTTAAAGGTGCTTAGACACAGATTTGAAGTTAATTTTTACTCAAATTTTCTGCATAATTTCATGACATACCGGTATATGTTGCTACAGTATTTCATACGAAAATTTGATAAAAATCTTAGTTTATCTGGAAGTTATTGAAACTTCGAATTTCTGGACGCGTTTGATAGACACATCCTTGCACTTTCACAAATTTTAACTTTATCCTTATTATTTTAGAAAAGTAGCAATTTTGTTGTTTATAAATGAACAAGAGGCCCAGGGGCCACATCGCTCACCTGAGCACTCTGGCTAGGAAAAAGCAGAAATCAGTTGAGTCTTGAAAAGTTTTGATATAAAAGTGGTTCGAGGGGGGGGGGGGGGGGGGGTTAATTTGAACTTGAATCTATACTTCAAAGGGATGCTTTTGAATTAATGTGGTAGTTGTACTTTTTATTTTTAGGATATTTATTTTAATTATTGTGTAGATTATTCTCATTTATTATTTTATTCATTTATTCATTCACTCATTCATTCAGCGTTGCGCAATGCGATATACTAACACTCTATGTTGTCTTTGTTCAGTGTCTGTTATAAACCTAAACACCCCTATTTTAAATAATGTAGCATTCCAGGTAGACTACCAGGTATTGTAGAATGGGTTATTCCATTATTGATTGTTACACTGATTTCTATTGGTCAGTGTGGTTGAATGTAAAACTTTGATCCCACATTGTGGCCCCACCCTACCCCCGGGGGTCATGATTTGAACAAACTTGAATCTACACTACCTGAGGATGCTTCCATATAAATATGACCAATCATGGCTTTGCTGTTCTTGAGAAGTAGATTTTTAAAGATTTTCCTATATATTCCAATGTAAAACTTTGATCCCCCATTGTGGCCATATAAGTTTCATATTTCCAAGCACAGTGGTTCTTGAGAAGAAGATTTTTAAATGATGCCATTAATTTTTCATGAATTCATGATTATCTCCCCTTGGAAGAAGGCTTGGCCCTTCATTTGAACAAACTTAAACCCCCTTCACCCAAGGATACTCTGTGCCAAGTTTGGTTGAAATTGGCCCAGTAGTTCTGGAGAAGAAGATGAAATTGTGAAAAGTTTACAATGACAACAACGACAACAGACAACGGACAAATTTTGATCAGAAAAGCTCAGGTGAGCTAAAAAAATTAAAACTATAATGCAGAAATTTCAGAGTAGAAATGTAGAAAGCAAAATCCTCTCACCAGTATTGTCAGTCCGTGCTCAGTGGTGTGTGCAGAGTTTAACAATTGAACACGCCCGGTGAAAAGTAAACATTAACAACAACAGAGCTTGTGCCCTGTTTACAAAACAGTTTATGTTTCACGGGTGTATTCAATTTGTTAAACTCTGTACACAAGTACACAACACTGAGCATGGGCTGACAATATTTAAGTGAGTGGGTTTTGCTTTCGCACATTTTTACTCTGAATTTTCTGGTTTATAGATGTAATATTATTCATTAATACACAACAAAATTGCTACTTTTCTTAAGTATTAAGGATAAAGTTAAAAATTGTGAAAGTGCAAGGATGTGTTAATCAAACGCCTCCCGAAATTCGTAGTTTCAATAATTTCCAGATTAGGCCAAATAAAAAAAAAAGTGTGGTTCCGGTTACCCGACCTTCCCTATTTTATACCTCCCGACCCTAAACTTTCTTTGGCAATTTTCATATTTTTCCGGAATTTTCCCCGATTTCCATTAATGGCTCTGGTTTAAGTTTTAGTTTCAGCAATGACGGCCTCCTTGCAAAATATAGTGCAAGTGTTTAATAGTGTTATATCCAAAGCAAGCTAGCATGTAGGTGTCCCCTACCAATATTGACTAGTATATTATCACATCACATCTAAATGCCATTTGCAAAGCAGTGATAGGTATTATTTAGAAAAATTGAGAAAATCATTTTGTTAAAAAAAAAAAAAAAAAAAAAAAAAAAAAAAAAAAAAAAAATTCCCTACCTGCCTACCCTAATTTTTTTGGAAGTGTAACCGGAACCACACATATTTTTTTGTTTGGCCTTAAATAAATTTTTAATTTTATTTTCGTGTGAAATGCTATAGCAACATATAAGTTGTGATATTATACAGAAAATAGAAAATTTGAGAAAATATAAACTTCAAATCTGTGTCTATGCACCTTTAAGTGCAAACAAAATCACTTTTCGGTATAGAACCTAAAAATATTAATCCCATAATAAACAAGCATTCTGAGAGTATTGCATGAGCAATACTAGTCCCCTACCGGCCAGTGTAATCTGGTTCTCTTCCCGTTAAGAATTGAAAATGCCATAATTCCGTCAAAAATTAATGAAGCGGGACAAAATGCAAACTTGATCTATAACTAATCAAGGTAAAGCCACATACCAAAAATCAGCTCAATATCTACAAGCGTTTAGAAGAAAATTGCGGAAAACCCGTAAAAATTGAAAAGGCCGTAATTTCGTTAAAAATCAATGAAGCGGAACGAAATGCAAACTTGATCTGTAACTCATCAAGATACACTCACATACCAAAAATCAGCTCAATATCTGCAAGCGTTTAGGAAAAAAGTGCGGAAAACCAAGTCGGACAGACAGACAGAGGGACAGACAGACAGACAGACGGACAGACAGACAGACGGACGAACAGACGGACGGACAGACTCAGAGGAAACCTATAGTCCCCTCCGGTTTCACCGGTAGGGAACTAACTAGGCTTCTATATACATGTACATACATGCACTTAAACATTCTATGATTCTGAACAATTTGTTATTAAAGTGGGGTGCTAATTTTGGCTTATTTCAGTGTTTTGGTAGTAGCCTGTTAAAATTTTAATTGCTAAAATATTCAATATTCTCTTAAAATGTTCTTTTGCAAAGTCCTAAAACTCTGTGTCAGTTAAAATAAATTCGGCCTAAATTATTGGTAAACCTTTAAGCAAGCAAAACACCAAAGTTCACACCAGCCAAGAAAACTCACAATACGGTAAAATCTAAAAATATTACAGAATATCAGTACAGATTGTTCGAATATCTACTCATAACGTCTATTGCTGAATTGATCTTACCAAGCTTTGTCAACAGATGTGAGGCTTGGGCTGCTACCTTGTACTCCGGATCTCCTACTTTATTTACGAGTAATGCCAACAACACCTAAAACATCAACAGTCATCCAAACTTTTTAGGCTACAGAAAACTTATATCACATCATTTTTTTTAAATCCAAATTACAAATTTTTGAAGAAATGGTGTAAAATAAAGCTATGTTTATAGTAATCACCTTTTCTTCCTCTGGTTTTTCTGCCAGCAATTGAAAGAATATCCCTGAAATAAAAAGTTGAAAGTTTTCATATCTGTACAACAAACCCAACACTAACACATTCCTGATAATATAAAAGACTATATTCAATGTATCAAAACAATATTGCACATTTAATGCCTTTTTGGGGGAAGGAAGGGGAGGGAATGGAAAAAGTAGCAGTTGTTTAGTTTGCTAAATGAATTGGCATTACCTAATGCTTTCTGTCTTGTGGCCAAAATATTGTCCTTTGACATCACCTTTGAACAAATAAATGGGATATTGCCAGTTTATATACATGTATGTTAAATATCGGTAAAATTTTTAATTATAAAAATTAATAGATTATGAAAAGGTGGCTCATAATTGCACACATTTCTGAGTCTCTGACCCAACACCTATAGATACCTCTAGAGCTTGTATGAATGATGAATACTTCTCCTTAAGCCTGTGTTCATATAACCATTTGAGGAGTTTTCTGTCAATTGTGTCTTTATTTCCTCCAGAAACATCTCCCAGGTCTCCTAAAGGATGCTAGCAAAACAAAACATATCAAATATATTATATGTCCTGACTGCTTTATTAACAGGATTACTTAATCTTAAAGAACAAATCAATATATTATTTTTCGTTTGCTTGAATCCAATTTGGAGGTTATCTTACCTGGTCAAATAGTCTCAACTTTCTGTCTGGTAATAAATTTGTAATGAAAAGGTCCTTTAATGTGTCTGAAATAAATACAAGAGACTAACAGATTTTTTCCAAAGTATTCATATCTAAAACTTTGATCTCCTATACATTGTGGCCCCACCCTACCCCTGGAGTTTGATTTGTACAAATTGAATCTATACTACCTGAGGATATGCTTTCATATTAATATGGCTAATCAGGGCTTTGCTGTTATTGAGAAGAAGATTTTTAAAGATTAATTTCAATATATTTCTATGTAAAAATTTGGTTGCCTACAGCGATCCACCCTACACCCGGGGGTCATGATTTGAACAAATTTGAATCTACACTATGTAATGAAGTATTTCTTTAAAAGGTTTTAAAAGAAGCTATTAAATTTTCATTAATTATCTCCCCATGAAAGAGGGTATGGCCCTTCATTTGAACAAACTTGATTCCCCTGCACCAAAATATGCTTTGTGGCAAATTTGGTTGATATTTGTCCGTTGTTTCTTGAGAAGAAGTCGAAAATGTGAAAAGGTTACAACTATGCCAATGACAGACAACAGACAAATTTGGATCAGAAAAGCTCACGTAAGCCTTTGGCTCATGTGAGTAAAAAACTCTTTTTTGTATTTTGATGGAGGTATATGATTAATCTCAATAATTATACCAGAATAATAACCATGCCACATGTAGCTCTCCAAGACAAACTCCTCTAATTGTGCTCTAGATCTCCTATTTCAACCAGTTTATATTGGTAAACAATTCGTCTGTATCTTATTGACAGACAACATTCTTATTTACTGCAGGCTATTAGCTAGTGTACACTGGTAAATGCTTATTCACAAAGAATATTTCTATTTACCAGCAGCAATCATGCTCTCCCTCTTGTTCTTCTTCCTGCACATGTTAACAAGTCCCTCCAGATTCTGGAGGTTGTGGACTGGGGATTCCTGTACCAGCAGGGTCAATGCTGCCACCTTGTCTGTCAGTGTGCCAGTGGTCAGGACTGTCTTAATCCACTTTGTCTCTGACTTCTTAGACTTCTCTCGCTCTGTGTAATTCAGTATTCCAAAATATTAGACCTATTCTAGTTACAAAACGTTAGCCACATCACATGGCTAACAGCACACTTAACAGAAATACACAGAAAAGAGTCATTAAATAAGATTTAAGACAATGTAAAACTGCCATCACCAGCTTCCAGAATAGAAGGATGGGATTTACTGTTTAATACATACACATAAATAAAAAAAAGCAAGCAAACAAATAGAATATGTTCTCTATTAATATAGTTAATAACAAACAAAGGATTCTTAATAACCCTTCTTTTCATGTGAGATATATGAATTCTTACGTTTGAGATACACTGATACTTCATCCTCCAATAGTTTGGAAGCAAAAGATTCCAGCTGTTTTTCTAAATCAGATGATAAAGACGATCCTTCCTCACTGTCCTAATGAAAATATATCCCCATCTAATCATTTAAAATCTAAATGAGAGCCATCTCCTGATATCATGAATTGAAAATCATTTCAAACATTTGCAGGAAGCCCCCATGTTTTATGATGGAAGTCTTTTTCTACACTGCCGATATCAAATTTGGCATTCAGTTAATTATTCTTATGAAATCTTAAATGAATTTGTTGACATTGAAAATAATCAAACATCAAAAATAGTATTGCTTTCATCAATTTATGTCTGAAATATCACTGAATCAGCCTAACATCCAAGCCAGTCAATCAATTAAAATTCCTATCCAACTATAACACTACCGAAAAAAAGGTCAGAAAAACTACACATAAGATGCAAGCCAAAAAAGGTTAAATTGTTTTTTAAATAAGGCAAAATTCACATGTACCTCTTCTTCTAGGCTCCGCTGGCCTGGTTTGATGAGAAGGAAGGATCTTGGTGTATATGATGACAAATGGGTTTTAAGACTCCAACCTTTAATTGTCTGTAAGTCTGACGTTGTGCTAGAAATCTCTTCATGCTGAATTTTGTATTTGTTTTTCTGCTTCTTTTTCTTTGTTTCTGCTGTTGATTTTTCTTGCATGTCATTCTCCTCTGCTTCTGGCATTACCGCAAGCTTTTTCTTCTTTTTCTTTTCTTTTCTGTGGATCACATCATGAAAATTACATATCAAATTACATGTCAAATAAAGAAAAAGCGATATTACATTCAAAGTCAAACCTGTATTAAGAGACCTTCCAACAGAGAAAGGAAAAAAGGTCACATACGACAGGTGAATACAGGTTGCTTATTTTCTGCAGTGTTTAAATATACAATGCTGAAAATATTATACATGTAACATGGAATTTATTTATATCATGTACTGTATATTTCTTCTTTTCAATATTAAGTATTGCCCAACTGTAAATGCTTTAATACATTTATTTTGGGGTACAGTTGATGTCATGTTCGGTAATAAAATTTGTTTGATCCGCACAGGTATTATTTTGATTTTTTGGAAATATTGAACATCTGAAAATATTTAGATTTTATATACATAATGAAAAAGTTAAAAAGATTATTTTAATAATTATTTTTTTAACCTAAATTGATAACCTATATGACTTCATATGTTCTGCATTTGACTAAGAATTAAAACTATCATGATTTTAGCTTGCATCTAGTAAACAAGAGGCCCAAGGGCCTTAATGGTCACCTGAGTATGATACAACAATTTAAAGGATGCATAGAGTATAAAATGAACTGAAAGGTGAAGCTTTGTTGCTCAAAAGCAAGAAAAATAGGGTGATCATGATCAACAAAATAATTGGTCTTAATATTCATTAACAGTTCGTAAATTAGGTCCTAATCTGTTCCCCATTTATCACTATCACTATACAGTATATTAACAAATTATCAATGCTTCTGTACTATTTTAATCCTTTGTTGAAATCTCTTACATTGGCATCTCTTGGTCTTTGATGAATATTTAATAAGACAAGTTATTTTTGTCTCATTTTTATTTATCTACTACTTACAAGTCTATCTGATCATTAAAACTATGAAAGTACTTTTTGTATTATACAATAAAAGTTCTTGCATAATTCTCTTATTCTATTTACCTTTCAAGTACATTATTTACAGTGATAAATTATCAAAAGTAAATGGCAAAGGGGAATAACTCCTCTCAGTAGAATACAAACTAATAGAGCCCTGGCCAGGACCAGAACACTTGACCAAATGGTCCAGATGTTCAAGAATCTGGTAAAAATTCCCTTCCTTATAAAAACTTTTACTCTGTTTGCCTCAGATATGCCCAGGTGCAGAGAAGATTTTTAAATAAATAATGCATTTTTACTACATATTCACTATATTATCAATAGAGCCCCCAACCCCAACCCCCCACCCTCAGAGCTTCTGACCCTGGGACCATATGTTTGCTCATCATAACGAATCACTTTGTTTATCTGCTTAACACTAAGGAGCAAACAGGATTATTTAATTAATGCATTTTCACTAAATTATCAAGAGCCCCACCCTCACATCTGACCCAGGGGTCATGAAATTCACTACTCTGGAAGAAACACATTTGCTCATCATAACTATACACTTAGCTTCTTTGCTTTTTTAACCAGAAGAAGAAAAGAATATTTTCAAAGAAATTTTGCTTTTTCACTTTATAATCAATAGAAGCCCCTCCCCCCCCCCCCCCCTCTTCACCAGAACCCTTAAACCTGGGGTCATAAAATTCACAATTTTGGAAGAGGCATCCTTGTGTATCATAACAATGTACTTTAGTCTGTTTAAGCAATACCCAGTGGCAGAGAAGAAGATTTTCAAAGAAATAATTCACCTTCACTATAGGATCTATATAGCCCCACCCTAGCATCAGAACTCCTGTCCCGGGGGCCATGAATTTCACAATTTTGGAAGAGCATCCTTGCTTATCATAACAATGTACTTAGTTTGTTTAAATAATACCCAGGTGCAGAGAAAAAGATTTTTAAAGAATTAAAACATTTTCACTTTATAATCAATAGAGCCCCGCCCTAACACCAGAACCCCTGATCCAAGGGCCACGAATTTCACAATTTTGAAAGAGGCATCCTTGATTATCATAACTATGTATTTAATGTGTTTCAATAATACCCAGGAGTAGAGAAGAAGATTTTCAAAGAATTAATGCATTTTCACTATATAATCAATAGAGCCCCACCCTAACACCAGAACCCCTGACCCAGGGGCCATGAAATTCACAATTTTGAAAGAGGCACTCTTGCTCATCATAACTATGTACTTAATTACTGAATTTAATACCCAGGAGCAGAGAAGAAGATTTTCAAAGGATTAATGCATTTTCACTATATAATCAATAGAGTCCCGCCCTTACACCAGAACCCCTGACCCAGGGGCCATGAATTTCACAATTTTGGAAGAGGCACTCTTGCTCATCCTAACTATGTACTTAGTTAGTTTATTTAATACCCAGGAGCAGAGAAGAAGATTTTCAATGAATTAATGCATTTTCACTATATAATCAATAGAGCCCCGCCCTAACACCAGAACCCCTGCCCCTGGGGCCATGAATTTCACAATTTTGGAAGAGGCATTCTTACTCATCATAACTATATACTTAGTTAGTTTATTTAATACCCAGGAGCAGAGAAAAAGATTTTCAATGAATTAATGCATTTTCACTATATAGTCAATAGAGCCCTGCCCTAACACCAGAACCCCTGACCCTGGGGCCATGAATTTCACAATTTTGGAAGAGTCACTCTTACTCATCATAACTATATACTTACTTAGTTTATTTAATACCCAGGAGCAGAGAAGAAGATTTTCAATGAATTAATGCATTTTCACTATATAATCAATAGAGCCCCACCCTTGCACCAGAACCCCTGCCCCTGGGGCCATGAATTTCACAATTTTGGAAGAGGTACTCTTACTCATCATAACTATATACTTAGTTAGTTTATTTTATACCCAGAAGCAGAGAAGAAGATTTCCAAAGAACTAATGCATTTTCACTATATAATCAATAGAGCCCCACCCTAACACCAGAACCCCTGACCCAGGGGCCATGAATTTCACAATTTTGGAAGAGTCACTCTTACTCATCATAACTATTTACTTAGTTAGTTTATGTAATACCCAGGAGCAGAGAAGAAGATTTTCAAAGAAATAATGCACTTTCACTATATGATCTATATGGCCCCGCCCTAGCACCAGAACCCCTGACCCAGGGGCCATGAATTTCACAATATTGGTAGAGGACTCAATGCTTATTACAATGATGCCAACAGTTTGACTGCTTGATGTCCAGGAGTAAAGAAGAAGATTTTTAAAGATTGCATTAATTTTGGTGGTTTTAGCCCCACCCCTCAGGCCCCAGGGGGGCAGGGACCATGAAATTCACAATTTTTGTTCCCCTTCACCCATAGATGCTATATGCCAAATTTAGTTGAAATTGGTTGAGCGGTTTCAGAGAAGAAGCTAAAAATGTTCAAATGTTAACGCACATCGCACGACGCACGTCGCACGACGCACGCCGACGGACAAAAACAGATAGCAATAAGTCACCTGAGTGACTCAGGTGACCTAAAAATAAAATTAGATTTACGACTAAAAACTTATTTAATCTTGGTAATTTTTTTCATGACAAGATATTACTCTAATATTGCCGGTTTGTCACCAGTTACTTCAAACCCTTCAATTTACACCTCATATGGGTGCTAGCTAGCTTGTGTTTACATAACCCAACAGTGACACAATACACTTAATTAACTAACATCTAGGATTTAATTAGTTATACATTATAAGTTTAACAGAAAACATACAAATTTTATAGCTGAATGTCCATTAGGCCCTTATATTAAAGACGAAATGATACTCATCGGGATCAACCTCGAAAGTCTATTGTCAAAATGGCACTCGAATATCGGAGAGAGAAAAAACTTGAATGTTAATGTATTAAATTTTAATTTTCATTACCGTAAGTCAAAGTACTTATTTTGAATTGCTGTTTACTTGTAAAACTCACATTAAATAATTATCAAATAATATAAACATGTGTCTGTAGATGTTTAAACCCAAAAACTTTGTGTGTTCGACCAAAATCGAAACTAGAAATCAGAAATTATATAGTCATTAAATCAAGGTAAAATTGCCTGAAATAACCAAAAATGGTAGCGAAAATTATGGTCGCTGGTCGCGTCAAACAGGTGGTTGTTTAATACAGGTATAATATATAGGGAAAAGCCTTGGGAGGGATTTTTACGCTCACATATGACAGTGATTCGCTCAATACAGTGGGTCGCTATGGCAGTTTTAACTGTACATAAATATCTTACTGCTATTAATTCAAAGACTGTCTGTTAAATTCTAAAGCTCTCTTTAACCTCTGAACTCTTACCCCCTGTCCTCTTCTGGCTCATCCTTAGCAAACTGTTCTGGAATTCCTAGTTTCTTGATAAAATCCAGGATCTACATGCAAAAACAAACAAATCAGGATTTTAAAAATGGAGTTTACACTACTAACAATAAATACTGTGATAAAAAGCAGATTTTATCCATCTAGGTGCAAGCTCTATACATATAAAAAATGATGAATACTCATATAGGAACTTAAAGGTCCCTGATTTAAATATTCTTCCTCAACATTACTATCTCTGTCATTACCTCATCTCTTCTTATGCCATCTTCATGTCCGCCTTCATCAAATTCTTCAATTAATTCTTCATCATTCTCATCTATTCCTTCCAACAATTGAACATCATTCTACCATTCAAAAAGAGAAAAAAATACCAAAATTCCATATCCTGAATACCAAAATAAAAAAAATATATATATACTTTTTTTTTAAACCAATAAACAATCTAGTTTTTTTTCACCCACAGTTCCCCCTCAGTAACCTCTAAAACCAGCATTACTTGAAATAAGTTGAAGATAGTCATATGAATTAGAATCTCAGTTTCTATATCCTAAACCCTCTGAAACACAAGCATTTCAAAGTTTTTCCTCAGTCCAGCTAAATTTGAGATATCCAAGTTGGATTATTTACATCATTTGTACGAATTCCAAAACTTCAAAAATATTATATTTAGAGGATATACTGGTGTGGACTCCATTTTCTGAGTGTATATATGTGCAGACTCCAATTTGAATGTATTTTAGGACTGCCATGGTTCCAACATTTTTTGGGGAGGATTGGCAGGGTTCAAAATTAACTTTTCTAAAAAGCTAATCAGTATGGACCAGTAACTTTCAAGTTTCATTTGTCTGTAAAACATTTTACTAGTCCTCTGTCATCTGTAATGATAACACATTGATTCTCTGTGACTCTAACCCCCCCCCCCCCCTTTTCTGACCTACCTTTATGCAGATAAATTTTTAATTTAAATTAAAATTAAATTCCAATTAAATTCTAGCTATATAAATAAATTGCAGCATAAAAACATTATTTTATTTTTGTTAAATGACATTAATACATGTAATTGATTTTTAAAGGAGGTTTGACTTAGTAATCATATTGTTTGATTAAAAAAAAAATCTGTAAATGTTCATATGGAGTAATATAAAATGTCAATAAACAATAGAACAAATAAGAAATGTTTTCTTGATTGTGTTAACGAGAAAGAAGAATGAAAAACAAGAGGCCCAGGGGCCACATCACTCACCTGAGCACTGTGGCTAGGAAAAAAGCAAAAATCAGTTTAGTATTGCAATGCTTAAAAGCATAAGTGGTCCCAACCAACCCCTAAAAGGGAGGGGGTATGATTTGAACAAAATTGAATCTACACTAACTAAGGATGCTTACTTTTTTTTTTTGACTAACTGTGACTTTTTTCCTACAAGTTTAAACTTTCATTGTGGCCCCTACCTACCCCTGAGGGTTATGATTTGATCAAATTTGAATCTACACTATCTGAGGATGCTTCCATATAAATGTGACCAATCATGGCTTTGCTGTTCTTGAGAAGAAGATTTTTTAAGATTTCTCCTATATATTCCTATGTAAAACTTTGATCATCTATTGTGGCCCCACCCTACCCTGGGGGGTCGTGATTTGATCAAATTTGAATCTACACCACCTGAGGATGCTTCCATATAAATATGACCAATCATAGCTTTGTTGTTCTTGAGAAGATTTTTTGACATTTTTCTTATATACTCCTATGTAAAACTTTGATCGTCCATTGTGGTCCTACCATACCCCCAGGGGTCATGATTTGAACAAATTTGAATCTACACCACCTGAGAATACTTCCATATAAATATGACCAATCATTGCTTTGCTGTTCTTGAGAAGAAGATTTTTGAATATTTTCCCTATATATTCCTATGTAAAACTTTGATCCCCCACTGTGACCCCAGCCTACCCCCAGGGGTCATGATTTGAACAAACTTGAATCTACACTACCTGAGGATGCTTCCATATAAATATGACTAATCATGGCTTTGTTGTTCTTGAGAAGAAGGTAATTAAAGATTTTCTGTATGTATTCCTACGTAAAACTTTGAATGCCCACTGTGACCCCACCCTACCCCCAGGGGTCATGATTTGAACAAAATTGAATCTACACTACCTGAGGATGCTTCCATGTAAATATGACCAATCAAGGCTTTGATGTTCTTGAGAAGAAGGTTTTTAAAGATGCTCCCTATGTATTCCTATGTAAAACATTGATAGCTGCAGAACTGTAGCTCTCCGAAAAAAAATTGACAGACCGGAGAGCTACAGTGCCACCCATAGAAAAAAAAATGTTTATTTATTGCGCACAAAAAGTTGCGCTCGGTTCTGGATTTATTTCTCCAAATTCTTACCTCAACTGCACAAAAGCTCGATTTCAAAAAAAATCCTTAGACCTCTATCAACTACTCTTGTAGTTGACATCTTTATGAAGCGCGTTTGGTTGAATTGTCTAGCCACCCAAAACGGCAGTATTAACAGGCGAAATTTTGGATGGTCTTAATTTCAGGCCCAGGAGGGCTATCAACAATGGTTATAGGAAATGTTTTGATGTGGGAATAGTGCAAAAATGTTTTAGGAACACACGGTCAGTAATATTTGAGATTGCAGTTTAAAAATACTGAGAAATAAATCAAGAAAAAGTGCACTTTTTTGTGCGCAATAAATATACAGTTTTTTCTATGGGTGGCACTGTAGCTCTCCAGTCTGTCTTTTTTTTTTTTTCGGAGAGCTACAGTTCTCATCTATCAATGTTTTATATTGGCATCATAATGTTTCAATCCCTGGTTGATTGAACTTATTACTGCTGAGATTTTGAGGACTAATGCTGTAAAAATGGTTTTAAAATGGTTTTAAAATGGAGGGAATATTTAATACATTCTCCCTCTATATAAATCTGAATTATGTAGATGATTTAATGAAAGTGAATGAAAAAAAAGGGTAAGATAACTAAACCTCTCTCTCTCCTTCTCTCAAATCTGGCAAAGTTAAATTATCGTATTTCTCCTGAGTCGCCCCTAAGGTTGATCATTGAAATGTTAAACATGCATTTACCTTTCCATGATAGTTTAGCCATTTTGGGGGAAAATACAAAGGGAATCAATTCAAGATTTACAGTTGGAATTTTATAAAGTTCGCTAGTCCAACACATTTTTTACTAGTCCTGGACTTATGGACATGAGCTTATTTTGAACCCTGGTCCATTCAGTAAATTTCCAGTTGATTTCAGGTTTTTCAGTTTGCTTCATTACATCTATTTCAAACTCTTTAATTTCATGAATTAAACTTGAAAAGTCTTTATTTGTTACATAAAATTCAGCTTTTAAAAATGTCTTAAGCATGTTAACGTCTTGACATTGGTGTTTAGGACTACTAGGCCAACTATTAATGACAACATGACCACTCTTGCTCATTTCAATAATTATCCCACCCTTTCCTAATGATTTTTTTGTCACAGATGAAGTAGATTTTGATTTCTATGATGTTTATTTATTACTGTTATTGATATCATTCTTTTGATTTTGATGCCATTTTTTTTGTATAAAACAGATTCCAATATACAAAACTAGACTAAACCAAAATCCGAAAAAATGGAACCAAAACTGAACAACTTGGACCATTGTTTTCCTAAATATGGGGGAACCGTTACAGCCCTAATGTGTATGTATGTATAGATTACAATTTCTGAGTCTAAAGAACATTAAGTCCAAAGGTCTGTTTTGGCATCTGACTACACTGTACAAAGGGCCCGTCTTAAATTCTAGTCTGGTACTTTGCATTTTCTCCCTTCCTAATGCATTTCATGTCCTGCCATCCCCTGTAATCTGCCAGTGTCAGATAAACGCAAGAATCTGGATTAAGGGTGAAAACACCTTAGTTGTTTAAAAAGGGAGGAACGTGAGAGCTATGTTCTCCAGTGGACAGATAGCTTAGATGGTTGAGCACCTGTTTAGTATTCAAAAGGGTTGTTTTCGCATTTTTTGATTACACTATTTGTAGTTTTCTTAACAAATTTCAATAAGGATTACTAAAATTGTCAAAAATGTACATAAATAGTTTCGACATTTAATACATCTAACAACAAATAAACACCTTATCTCCACCTAGCTCACTGACAGTCTTGATATCTAGACCAACATCTTTCACACGTGTTTTGACTTTCTTCTTGGAAGCCATCTTTTAAATATAAGGTTGAGAGCTGATTCCGGTTGGAATGACAAAATCCGGATTGTAATCAGCACCTACCGTCGATTGATGTCCCCCCCCCCCCCCCTGCAGGCCCGTAAGAAATGTCGGGGGGGGGGGGGGCAACAGTACATATTACATATTCAGTTTGCCAAATTCCTTGACAAGCCAAACAAAAAAGTCATCAGACGTTATTATTGAGGGGGCACAAGCATATACATGATATAGAAGTTATAATATATGTTTTCTATATGAGTATTCTATATATCGCAAAATTAGGGGGGAAGGGCCATCCCCCCCCCCCCCGCCCCGGTTCCTACGGCCATGCCCTGAAAAAACCGCCCGATCAAAGCGCCCCTTATATAATTTTACAGTATATTTTTTTTTGTCAAATATTGCTCAAAATGCTCCTAAAACTTTTATACAAAATTTTCATTTCGAAGCTATTAATACGATGACCGATGTCAGCCGGTCTAAAAATTTGTACATTTAAAATGTACATTGACATGTACATTTTTCAATGACAATGCACACTTCGTAATCTAACATTTTGTCTGTAAATGCACAAAAAGGTGAAAAGGCAAATTTCAAAAAGCGGACACATAAAACACATACCCTTTTAAAGCTATATATATATATGGCATATCTGAGCTAAAAAAAAATTAAAAATACGAGATTGAGTGTCGATAAACATGATATATGTTATTTATGTTCAAATTGAAATTTTCATCGATTTTGAACTTGAGTAACCTCATGTTTCCTTAGTTAAATTGACTTAAAACTGTCTGTTTTTTAAATGCAGAGTCGGCAAATAAATTGGTTATTGTTTTAAATTTCTAATATCTTTGAAACGTGATTGATTTAAAATGTGTAATTTACAGGAAAGTCCTATCTTTATATAAAGTAATAAAACAAATAGAAAGATCTTTTTAATTTTAGTTAGTCTGAACTTATTAAAAAATACGCCATTATAAGACTTTAATTAAAAATTCTGGTCGACGAACCGTCCCCAAGCATTGCCCCCTAATTCTGGTCAAAGTGTCCCAATTCTGGTCAATCCGTTCCATAAAACATTTCATAGGAAAATAATCTTAATAATCTTTCAGAAAAGTTTCCAAGATTTAGTCAATAAATGACCTTTATTTTAGTCAAAGCGCCCCTATAAATAATACAGAAAATGTATTAAAATTACCTCACACTGGAAAAAAATAATCTTGAAATAACCTTGTACATATTACAAGTTTGCTCAAGGTGGCCAATAATTTTAGTCACAATGCCCCGAAGAAAATATAGAGATAGAGAGCACATTCATCGAACTGCAAATCTCCATTAAAAGTTGAAAAGTTGTACCAAAAAATGCATGGTGCAGAGATTTTAATGACAACTGCCTTTTTCCTTACAAAAAAGTTCATAGTTTTAAGGTGAGATTAGTGATCAACGTCCCCATTCCATCTCCCGATGCTCTGCCTACCTTATAGTTACTGTTTGTATGCATATAACCTATTTTAAGGAATTATTTATTCTACACTAGTGTACATTGGACCAAAAATAGATAGGGAAATTCCTAATTGATGCAAATAGTTTTGGAAAGTTACTAGTATTTCACTTGCACCTGACTTCCACTCATATGACCATAACATTAAGGCACATTGATTCTTGGGTGAAGGGGGGGGGGGGTGGAGGAGGCCTGCCCCTCTCCTCACCTTTTGAGAATGTAAAGTTTTAGTTTAAATTTTACGGATAAAAAATTCAATGAAAGCCCCCTTCCCCTCGTTTACGGACCTTTACATCCCACCACATAAAATTTTGAGTTGGGAGAATTCTTTATTCTTTTCCTTTTCGGGGGGGGGGGGGGGGGGGCTAGTCAAAGATTTGTTTTCAGGTAAGTTGTCATTTTTCTTTCCTTTTGATGCCCCCTTTTTTCAAAATCAAACCTATATATGTGCCTGACATTTATTTTTTTTTTTTCTACATTGCACAACTAGAATTAACAAGAGGCCCAAGGGCCTTCACGGTCACCTGAGTACAACAATTTAGAGGATCCATAAACTGATAAATGAAGCTTTGTTGCTGAAATACCCTTGCTTATTAAAACTTTTACTCTGTTTGCTTCCAGTATGTCCAGGAGCAGAGGAGATTTTCAAAGAAATAATGCATTTTCACTATTTAACACAGCCCTACCCTAACACCACAACCCATGACCTAGGGTCATGAAAATTTACAAATTTGGAAGAGGTACCCTCATCATCATAACTATGCAATTAGTTGAAGATTTTCAAAGAATTCAGACATCCCCCCCCCCCTCAGAGAAACAACAGAACCCCTGGGACCACAAGTTTTAAAAATTTTGTAAAAGCATCCTTGCTCATCATAACTATACACTTGTTTCTTTGCTTTATAACCAGGAGCAGAGAAGAAGATTTTCAAAGATTTAATGCATTTTCACTATATAATCAATATAGCCCCCCCCCCCTTTCACCAGAACCCCTGACCCAGGGGCCATGAAATTCACAATTTTGGAAGAAGCAGCGATGCTCATCATAACTATGTACTTAGTTAGTTTATTTCATACCCAGAAGCAGAGAAGATTTTCAAAGATTTAATGCATTTTCACTATATAATCAATAGAGCCCCCCCCCCCAACACCAGAACACCTGACCCTGGGGCCATGAAATTCACAATTTTGGTAGAGGCACGCTTGATCATCATTACTATGTACTTAGTTAGTTTATTTAATACCCATGAGCAGAGAAGAAGATTTTCAAAGAAATAATGCATTTTCACTATATAATCAATAGAGCCCCGCCCTAACACCAGAACCCCTGACCCAGGGGCATGAAATTCACAATTTTGGAAGAGGCAGCCATGCTCATTATAACTATGTACTTAGTTAGTTTATTTCATACCCAGGAGCAGAGAAGAAAATTTTCAAAGATTTAATGCATTTTCAATCAAAAGAGCCCCGCCATATCACCAGAACACCTGACCCTGGGGCCATGAAATTCACAATTTTGGTAGAGGCACTCTTGCTCATCATAACTATGTACTTAATTAGTTTATTTCATGCCCAGGAGCAGAGAAGAAGATCAAGATTTGATGCATTTTCACTATATAATCAATAAAGCCCCGCCCTAACACCAGAACCGCGACACAGGGGCCATGAAATTCATAATTTTGGAAGAGGCAGTCTTGCGCAACATAACTATGTACTTAGTTAGTTTATTTCATACCCATGAGCAGAGAAGATTTTCAAAGAAATAATGCACTTTCACTATATGATGTATATAGCCCCACCCTAGCACCACAACCTCTGACCCTGGGGCCATGAATTTCACAATTTTAATAGAGGGCTCAATCCTTATTACAATCATGCCAACAGTTTGACTGCTTGATGTCCAGGAGTAAAGAAGAAGATTTTTAAAGATTGCATTAATTTTGGTGGTTTTAGCCCCACCCCTCAGGCCCTAGGGGGCAGGGACCATGAAATTCACAATTTTTGTTCCCCTTCACCCATAGGTGCTATATGCCAAAATTGGTTGAAATTGGTTGAGCGGTTTTAGAGAAGAAAATGTTAACGCACGACGAACGACGACGGACAAAACCGGATAGCAATAGGTCACCTGAGTGACTCAGGTGACCTAAGAATTCCAAAATAATACAACTGTTTTTTTAAACCCCGTTTCTCTCATTATGTTCGGTTAGTACTTCAGTAGATGTGAACAAGTAAGATGGCATGGATTGCTTAATGAGTGTGTGTCATTTAATCATTGAATCATATAATAAAACAATCAGTGCTGCTTTTTTTCGGTCAATACGATGATTTAGCCACCTTCGAAGTACAATATTGTACTCCTCAGGTGTCTAAATCATCGTATTGACCTCAAAAACCAGCAAAAATTGAATATTATTATATGATTGAATAATTCCCATCTCTCTGATTGGCTGAGATCCAACAATGTTAGAAAAATACTACGTTATATTGACCTGCATGTGACCTTCCAGATCAATATAAGGAATTATTTATTCTACATTGAACCAAAAATAGATAATCATATAATAAAACAGTTATTGCTGTTTTTGAGGTCAATACAATGATTTAGACACCTTCGAAGTACAATATTCACCTCGCCCTTCGGGCTCGGTGAATATTGTACTCCTCAGGTGTCTAAATCATCGTATTGACCTAAAAAAACAGGAATAATTGTATAATATTCACCTGTACACGACCTTCCAGGTGAATATAAGGATTTATTTTCTCTACATTGGTCTAAGAATAGATCGGAAAATTCCAAATTGATACAAATAGTTTTGGAAAGCTACTTCACTTGCTAATAACTTCCACTAGGTGAACATACCATTAGGGAATTGAAACAAAATTTGAAGTAAAAAGAATTCTCTTTTCGTGGGGGCTAATCAAAGATTTTTTTCAGCTGTCATTTTTCCCTGATAATGCCCCCCTTTCAAAATCTATTCTATAAAAGAGTCTGACATTATTTCTTTGTTTTCAAAGCAACTAAAATAGATTTTAAAAATCCAAATTAATACGAGTGGTTATGTTTATTTAACCCCGCTTCTCTCATTGCATTTAGCTAGGACTTCAGCAAATGTAAATAAGTAAGGTGGCATAAACTGCTTAATGAGTTCGTATCATTTAATTATTTAATCATAAAATAAAACAATTGTTGCTGGGTTTTTTCAGTCAATAAGTCAATCAGTCTTTTTTTTTTTTCAGATTTAGCCACCTTCAAAGAACAACATTCACCTCGCCCTTCGGACTCAGTGAATATTTTACTCCTCAGGTGGCTAAATCATCGTATTGACCTCAAAAACAGCCATAATTGAATAATATTTATATTAATAGCGATTCTCTGTAACCACTTAAACTTCTTTGCCACGCATGGTCATCGATATTGATGAAACTTTGCCCATTATTACAACTTGACAACAGAAACATATATCAAATAAAATTTCGTTGCTATGTGTCTTGGTTGCC